TGCAAAATTTTTTACCAGAAATGAAGACAAATTATTTTTTTCAAAAGTTTAAGATTTTATTTAGCAAAAAAAAAACCAGTGGTGATTAAATACCACCAAAAAAGAAAGCTCTACTTGTATGAAAAAAATGTATAACATTTTAATATGGATACAGTGTTGCATGACCGCGCTATTGTCATTCAAAGTGTGACAGCGCTGAAAGCTGAAAATTGGCCTGGGCAGGAAGGGGGTGAAAGTGCCCAATAGGCGAGGGGTTAAAGAAGAGGAAGAATTAAGGGGGATATGATCACCATGTATAATACATAAGGGGGGATATGATCTCCATGTATAAATACATAAGGGGGGGATATGATCACCATGTATAATACATAAGCGGGGATATGATCTCCATGTATAATACATAAGGGGGGATATGATCTCCATGTATAATACATAAGGGGGATATGATCTCCATGTATAATACATAAGGGGGATATGATCACCATGTATAATACATAAGGGGGAATATGATCTCCATGGTATAATACATAAGGGGGATATGATCACCATGTATAATACATAAGGGGGGATATGATCACCATGTATAATACATAAGGGGGATATGATCTCCATGTATAATACATAAGGGGGGATATGATCACCATGTATAATTACATAAGGGGGATATGATCACCATGTATAATACATAAGGGGGGATATGATCACCATGTATAATACATAAGGGGGATATGATCTCCATGTATAATACATAAGGGGGGATATGATCACCATGTATAATACATAAGGGGGGATATGATCACCATGTATAATACATAAGGGGGATATGATCTCCATGTATAATACATAAGGGGGGATATGATCCTCATGTATAAATACATAAGGGGGGATATGATCACCATGTATATATACATAAGGGGGGATATGATCTCCATGTATAATATACATAAGGGGGGGATATGATCTCCATGTATAATACATAAGGGGGGATATGATTCTCCATGTATAATACATAAGGGGGGATATGATCTCCATGTATAATACATAAGGGGGATATGATCTCCATGTATAATACATAAGGGGGATATGATATCTCATGTATAATACATAAGGGGGATATGATCTCCATGTATAATACATAAGGGGGATATGATCACCATGTATAATACATAAGGGGGATATGATCTCTCCATGTATAATACATAAGGGGGATATGATCACCATGTATAATACATAAGGGGGATATTGATCACCATGTAACTAATACATAATCCAGGGGGATATGATCTCCATGTATAATACATAAGGGGGATATGATCACCATGTATAATACATAAGGGGGGTATATGATCTCCATGTATAATTACATAAGGGGGATATGATCACCATGTATAATACATAAGGGGGGATATGATCTCCATGTATAATACATAAGGGGGGATATGATTCTCCATGTATAACATACATTAAAGGGGGGATATGATCACACATGTATAATACATAAGGGGGGATATGATCTCCATGTATAATTCACATAAGGGGGGATACTGATCTCCATGTATAATAACATAAGGGGGGATATGATCTCATGTATAATACATAAGGGGGGATACTGATCTCCCATGTATAATAATAAGGGGGGATATGATAACGTCACCAGGTGATATAATACATAAGGGGGGATATGATCACCATGTATAATACATAAGGGGGGGATATGATCACCATGTGATAATACATAAGGGGGGATATGATCTCCATGTATAATACATAAGGGGGGATATGATCTCCATGTATAATACATAAGGGGGGGAATATGATCTCCATGTTATAATACATAAGGGGGGATATGATCTCCCATGTATAATACATAAGGGGGGGATATGATCTCCATGTATAATACATAAGGGGGGGATATGATCTCCATGTATAAATACATCAGTGGTTCATAAATAGTGAACTCGGTGGTAGAGTTATTCACCCTGAGGTCATCACAGAGGACAAGGGGGCGCTCTTTTTTATTGGAGGGGAAAAGAAAATGTAATCTCCAAACACGGAAAGGTTTCTTCACAGTAAGAGCTGTAAGAATTGTTGAATAGACTCCCTCAAGAGTTGGTTGTGGGCCCAGCTCAGTGGATTGCTGTAGGAAGGTCCTGATTCTTTCTTGGATACACAGAATATAACTGGATAAACATTTATAGGTAAAGTTGATCCAGGGAATATTCCATTGCCTCTCGGGGGGATCAGGAAGGAATATTTTTCCCAGCAGGAGCATATTGGATCATGCATTAGTGTTTTTTTTTTTTTCCTTCCTCTGGATCAATTTGTGGGTGTAGGATTATAACTTTTTTTTTTAATGGTTGAACTGGATGGACTTTTGTCTTTTTCCAGCCAGACTAACTATGTAAGTATGTGACATACAAGAAAACAGTGCAACTGAAGCAGTTACCCTTCCTGCTTCCCCTCCTGTTGTTTCACTGGTTTACCGCGTGGTTGTTGCTGAAGATATCAGTCATAAACTTGGTATTTCTTTTATTTAGCTGGCATCCGGATTTCTTATGAAAGGGGGGTCCAAGCACCTCATAAGCCATTGGATTGCTTTCAGTAGCGGTGGCCAGGGCTGCTGTTAGAAAACTACGGGGGCCCCTTTCTGCTCATCAGTGCCTGGCAGTGCTGCTCATCAGTGCCAAACAATGCTGTCCATCAGTGCCCATTAGTGCTGCCCATCAGTTCCCAACAGTGCTTCCCATCAGTGCCCAACAGTGATGCCCATCAGTGCCCAACAGTGATGCCCATCAGTGCTGTCCATCAGTGCCAAACAGTGTGAGGCAGTGCTGCCCAACAGTGCTTCCCATTAGTGCCCAACAGTGCTATCCATCAGCGTTGCCCATCAGTTCCCAACAGTACTATCCATCAGTGCCCAACAGTGCTACCCATCAGTGCTGCCGATCAATGCCCAACAGTGCTGCCCATCAGTGCCCAACGGTGATGCCCATCAGTGCCAAACAGTGTGAGGCAGTGCTGCCCAACAGTGCTTCCCATTACTGCCCAACATTGCTACCCATCAGCGCTGCCCATCAGTTCCCAACAGTGCTTCCCATCAGTGCCCAACAGTGCTGCATATCAGTGTTGCCCATCAGTGCCCAACAGTGCTGCCCAGCAGTGATCAGCAGTGCTGCCCAGCAGTGCCCAGCAGTGCTGTCCATCAGTGCCTAACAGTGTGAGGCAGTGCTACCAACCGTGCTTCCCATCAATGCCCAACAGTGCTACCCATCAGTTCCCAACAGTGCTACCCATCAGTGCTGCCAGTCGATGCTGCCTATCAGTGCCATCAATCAGTTGTGAAAGTCAATGACCTTCAGTGCAGCCTATTAGTGCCCATCAGTGCTGCCTATCAATGCCCACCAATGCCGCCTCAATAGTGCAGCCTATCAGTGCAGCCTCATCAACGCACATCAGTGAAGGAGAAAAATAACCTGTTTGCAAAAAAACTTTTTTTTTTTTTCAAAATGTTCGCTCTTTTTTTTCCCGTTTATAGTACAAAATATAAAATGCTCAGCGGCGATTAAATCCCACCAAAAAAGAAATCTGTGTTTGCAAGAAAAAAAAAATGACAAAAATGTCATATGGGTACAGCGTTGCATGACCGCGCAATTGTCATTCAAAGTGCAACAGCGCTGAAAGCTGAAAATTGTCCTGGCCAGGAAGGGGGTGACAGTGCCCTGTAGACAAGGGGTTAAAGAGAACCTGTCACCAAGAAATCATCACACAAGGGACTGTGTGTCCTCTATATGATGAATAAGAACAAATTTAAGTGAAAAAAACATCCCCCCCAAAACAATATTGAGGCCCCCCAAACATACGAATGTAAATGCAAATGTCGATTGCGATACACGTTACATATCGCCGCGCACATCAAAGTAAGAGCAATAGTTCAGCACCAGACCTCCTCCGTGACACTACACTGAGGACCTGTAGACGCGTCTGAAGCGCCCCCTATAGAAAACATAGGGTACTGACGTTAGTCGCCATTTCACAGGCGCACAAATGTAAGGTTGGGCATGTTGGGTATCTATTAACTCGCCGCAACCTCGCCTTTTATATTTTACCAGAATTTTGGGTCATTAATCGCATTTGTTTGCCCTAACATTCACTTTAGTGTGTTTTTTTTACTGAAATTTTGCATTTCCCAGACCTTTGCGTTCATATCGTGCGACAGAAAAAATTGGAACTACCACTATTTTATTGTGTAGGGTGTCTGCCTTCAGAAAATATATCATGTTGGGGGGTTTTTGTGTCATCTTCAGGCCTAAAATGATTTTGTTTTAGGGTCGGTTCACACTATATGCGTTTCAGTTGATTTTTTTCTGCATCCAAAACGCAAAGTATGTGATAAGGTTGTCAGTGTCATAGTTCACACCAGCGTTTGCAGTTCCAGAGCGTTCCGGTTGCAGAAAAAAAAAGCTTTTTCTGTACAGAACTGTACTGGAACGCGGTAAAACGCATCAAAAAAACTCACCGGAACGCGTCACAAACATCGGTACAGGCCCTTAAACTGTGTGTGACATACGTGTCGGGTAGATCAAGTGGTCTGTCAGGTTTGAATCTGTTAGGCCAGTCAGGTGATCTGTCAGTAAGGCATGTTGTCAGGTTACATGTGATGTGAAGACAAGCAGTCAGGACTGCGCATGCTTATGTTGCTCAGGACAGGGGGTCAGTCAGGCGTGTGATTGGTCGCAGTGATCATGTGGTCTCCAGCCAGGCCGGATCAGTGCCCACGTCCATCCTATAGCGTTCTTTCCCCGCCCCCTACACGCAACGTGTTCTGCCAGACCTGCCGAAAACCTAGAACAGACGTGGCTGAGTCAAACCGGACACACTACGCATGCGCCATTTCCTCTGCCAGCCTATCGCGCAGCCGCACGTCAAAGGATTCCCCGGAAGAGGCAGGGCTTGCGGTGGCCGGAGGTGACGCTGCGCCAGAGAATTCACAGCGAGTAGACATGGCAGCCTCTGCGGATGGCAAATGGAAGGTGGTGGGAGGGAAGAGCAAGAAGAGCGGAGACAAGAGGAGAGCGCTGGGGGAGAGCAATGTCCCTCCCACCCTGGCCGCCGGCAACGCTGGGGGTATGTGCCACGCCTTTCCACCCTCCACATCCCGCACCCCCTCCACACTACCCACACCTTATTGCCCTCCCCCCTACCCATCCCGCACCTTACCGCCCTCCCCCCTACCCATTCCGCACCTTACCGCCCTCCCCCCTACCCATTCCGCACCTTACCGCCCTCCCCCCTACCCATTCCGCACCTTACCGCCCTCCCCCCCCCCTACCCATTCCGCACCTTACCGCCCTCCGCACTACCCATTCCGCACCTTACCGCCCTCCGCACTACCCATTCCGCACCTTACCGCCCTCCGCACTACCCATTCCGCACCTTACCGCCCTCCGCACTACCCATTCCGCACCTTACCGCCCTCCGCACTACCCATTCCGCACCTTACCGCCCTCCGCACCTCCGCACCTTACCGCCCTCCGCACCTTACCGCCTCCGCACCCCACACCTTACCGCCCTCCGCACTACCCACACCTTACCGCCCTCCGCACTACACATCCCGCACCCACTCCACACTACCCACACCTTACTGCCCTCCACGCTACCCATTCCGCGCCTTACTGCCCTCCGCGCTACGCGCGCCTTACTGCCCTCCGCGCTACTGTCAGTTTGTTAGGGATAGACAGACCTTACTGCCCTGTACACTACCCATCCCGGAAGGTGAGGGGAGGGTAGACAGTGGCAAGGAGTGGCAGGATGTTGGGGTGAGTACATATCGCTTCTGTCTCTACCCAGCATCCTCTGCTACAGCACCTGTCATACTACTGACCGACCAGCAGGGGTCCCTCTATATGGTATGTATGGGAGGAAGGGAGAAGGCCGCCATGCTTTCCTGGGAAGTGTGACAACCTGTGCCATCTACCCGGCCGGCCCACCCTCCGGTGATGGAACTTTACATGGAGTCTCATCATCGGTGTCACCTGGAGGCCAGGAAGTCTGGCAGAGCGGTCAGCACCGGAGCAGAGCGGACCTCTGGGCGAGTCCGGCACTCTGTGCCAAAAACCGCTACCACTCTCCATACTGCACTTCTCATGTACACAGAACACCCTGCTGTCATTGGTCACATCCCGGCCCTGTCCTCCATAGAGCCTGGAGTTCTGCTTGGATATCCACCACAACTTCTGCAGCCAATAGGAAAGGGCAGGAAGAGGCGGGACTTGGATCAACTGCCCGTGTCTTCTCTAAGGACCATCCACATGATATACCTGGAGGTACCTGCTATTTGGATCTGGAGTCCATGTTCTTTGTGTACCTGGAGGTGCCATCACATACCTGGAGGTGCCATCACATACCTGGAGGTGCCATCACATACCTGGAGGTGCCATCACATACCTGGAGGTGCCATCACATACCTGGAGGTGCCATCACATACCTGGAGGTGCCATCACATACCTGGCGGAGCCATCATGATGGACCCAAGGTCAGCTTATATGGTATACATAGAGGTACGCAAAAGTATTGGGCCCGCCCTCCAAATCATGTGATTCAGGTGTTCCAATCCCCTCCATGGACACAGGTGTATACAATCAAGCCCCTAGGCATGCAGACTGCTTCTACAAACATTGGTGAAAGAATGGGTCGCTCTCAGGAGCTCAGTGACTCCAAGCGTGGTCCCGTGATAGGTTGTCACCTGTGCAATAAGTCCATCTGTGACATTTCCTGGCTACTAAATATTCCACGCTCAACAGTTAGTGGGATGATAACAAAGTGGAAGCAAACCTTCAGCACCTCAACTGTTAGTGGGATTATAACAAAGTGGAAGCAACTGGGAACAACAGCCACTCAGCCACCAAGTGGTAGGCCACGTCACATGACAGAGCGGGGGTCAGGGCATGCTGAAGCGCACAGTGCGCAGAAGTCACCAACTGTCTGCAGAGTCAATAGCTAAAGACCTCCAAACTTGGTGTGGCCTTCAGATTAGTACAACAACAGTGTGTAGAGAGCTTCATGGAATGGGTTTCCATGGCCGAGCAGCTGCATCCAAGTCTTACATCACCAAGAGCAATGCAAAGTGTCGGATGCCGTGGTGTAAAGCACGCCGCCACTGGACTCTAGAGCAGTGGAGATGTGTGCTCTGGAGTGACCAATCACGCTTCTCTGCCTGGCAATCCGATGGACATATCTTGGTTTGGCAGTTGCCAGGAGAACAGTACTTTCTTGACTGCATTGTGCCAAGTGTAAAGTTTGGTGGAGGGGGGATTATGGTGTGGGGTTGTTTTTCAGGGGTTGGGCTTGGCCCCCTAGTTCCAGTGAAGGGAACTCTTAAGGTGTCAGCATACCAAGACATTTTGGACAATTTCATGCTCCCAACTTTGTGGGAAGAGTTTGGGGATGGCCCCTACCTGTTCCAACATGACTGCACACCAGTGCACAAAGCAAGATCCATAAAGACTTGGAGGAACCAGTTTGGGGTGGAGGAACTTGACTGACCTGCAGAGTCCTGACCTCAACCACATAGAACACCTTTGGGATGAATTAGAGTGGAGACTGCGAGCCAGACCTCCTCCCCCGACATCAGTGCCTGACCTCACAAATGTGCTTCTGGAAGAATGGTCCAACCTTCCCATAGACACCCTCCTAAACCTTGTGGTCGGCCTTCCCAGAAGAGTTGAAGGTGTTATAGCTGCAAAGGACGGGGCCAACTCAATATTGAACTCTACGGACTAAGACTGGGATGCCATTAAAGTTCATGTGCGTGGAAAGGCAGGGGGCCTAATACGTTTGGCAATCTATGTACCTGGGTCCAGCCTACATGGTATACATAGAGGTACCAGCTCTGTGGACCAGGGGTCAGCCTACATGGTGTACATAGAGGTACCTGCTCTGTGGACCAGGGGTCAGCCTACATGGTATACATAGAGGTACCTGCTCTGTGGACCTGGGGTCAGCCTACATGGTGTACATAGAGGTACCTGCTCTGTGGACCAGGGGTCAGCCTACATGGTGTACATAGAGGTACCTGCTCTGTGGACCTGGGGTCAGCCTACATGGTGTACATAGAGGTACCTGCTCTGTGGACCAGGGGTCAGCCTACATGGTGTACATAGAGGTACCTGCTCTGTGGACCAGGGGTCAGCCTACATGGTATACATAGAGGTACCTGCTCTGTGGACCTGGGTCCAGCCTACATGGTATACATAGAGGTACCTGCTCTGTGGACCTGGGTCCAGCCTACATGGTATACATAGAGGTACCTGCTCTGTGGACCTGGGGTCAGCCTACATGGTATACATAGAGGTACCTGCTCTGTGGACCTGGGGTCAGCTTACATGGTATACATAGAGGTACCTGCTCTGTGGACCTGGGGTCAGCTTACATGGTATACATAGAGGTACCTGCTCTGTGGACCTGGGGTCAGCCTACATGGTGTACATAGAGGAACCTGCTCTGTGGACCTGGGGTCAGCCTACATGGTATACATAGGTACCTGCTCTGTTGACCTGGGGTCAGCTTACATGGTATACATAGAGGTACCTGCTCTGTTGACCTGGGGTCAGCTTACATGGTACACATAGAGGTACCTGCTCTGTGGACCTGGGGTCAGCTTACATGGTATACATAGAGGTACCTGCTCTGTGGACCTGGGGTCAGCCTACATGGTATACATAGAGGAACCTGCTCTGTGGACCTGGGGTCAGCCTACATGGTATACATAGAGGTACCTGCTCTGTGGACCTGGGTCCAGCTTACATGGTATACATAGAGGTACCTGCTCTGTGAACCTGGGGTCAACCTACATGGTGGTATACATAGAGGTACCTGCTCTGTGGACCTGGGGTCAGCCTACATGGTATACATAGGTACCTGCTCTTTGGACCTGGGGTCAGCTTACATGGTATACATAGAGGTACCTGCTCTGTGGACCTGGGGTCAGCCTACATGGTGTACATAGAGGAACCTGCTCTGTGGACCTGGGGTCAGCCTACATGGTATACATAGAGGAACCTGCTCTGTGGACCTGGGGTCAGCCTACATGGTATACATAGAGGTACCTGCTCTGTGGACCTGGGGTCAGCCTACATGGTATACACAGAGGTACCTGCTCTGTGGACCTGGGTCCAGCTTACATGGTATACATAGAGGTACCTGCTCTTTGGACCTGGGGTCAGCTTACATGGTATACATAGAGGTACCTGCTCTGTGGACCTGGGGTCAGCCTACATGGTGTACATAGAGGAACCTGCTCTGTGGACCTGGGGTCAGCCTACATGGTGTACATAGAGGAACCTGCTCTGTGGACCTGGGGTCAGCCTACATGGTGTACATAGAGGAACCTGCTCTGTGGACCTGGGGTCAGCCTACATAGTATACATAGAGGAACCTGCTCTGTGGACCTGGGGTCAGCCTACATAGTATACATAGAGGAACCTGCTCTGTGGACCTGGGGTCAGCCTACATGGTATACATAGAGGTACCTGCTCTGTGGACCTGGGTCCAGCTTACATGGTATACATAGAGGTACCTGCTCTTTGGACCTGGGGTCAGCTTACATGGTATACATAGAGGTACCTGCTCTGTGGACCTGGGGTCAGCCTACATGGTATACATAGAGGAACCTGCTCTGTGAACCTGGGGTCAGCCTACATGGTATACATAGAGGAACCTGCTCTGTGGACCTGGGGTCAGCCTACATGGTATACATAGAGGTACCTGCTCTGTGGACCTGGGTCCAGCTTACATGGTATACATAGAGGTACCTGCTCTTTGGACCTGGGGTCAGCTTACATGGTATACATAGAGGTACCTGCTCTGTGGACCAGGGGTCAGCCTACATGGTATACATAGAGGTACCTGCTCTGTGGACCTGGGGTCAGCTTACATGGTATACATAGAGGTACCTGCTCTTTGGACCTGGGGTCAGCTTACATGGTATACATAGAGGTACCTGCTCTGTGGACCAGGGGTCAGCCTACATGGTATACATAGAGGTACCTGCTCTGTGGACCTGGGGTCAGCCTACATGGTGTACATAGAGGAACCTGCTCTGTGGACCTGGGGTCAGCTTGCAGAGTGAGCCCCCATAGTCATGCTGGAGTAGAAAAAAGACGTCTATAATTAGGATAGTCAGGCTTGCAGGAAGGTCTTTAATTCCACCTCGTGGTCCCCTGTCCTGGTTTGTCAGCGGATACCCAAATCTAGCCGTTACATGACTTTTCCCCTCCAGTCGCCTCAGCTGACATTTCTGCTCAGACCTCTTGTGCAATGTGGAATAAAGGGTATAGCACCATCACCGCCCTCCATGGGATTTTTTTCCTGGCTCACTCACTCTCTGTTCCTTGCAGTTCCCATTAAGTCGTCGGTGTATGAGATGGGTTTTGAGAAGATCATGAAGAAGCAGAACAAAGAGCAGGTGCCGCCCACCACCAGCAGCACCAACAGCAGCAGCACGGAGCCGCAGCAGAACAAGAAGCAGCAGCAGAATAGCGGGAAGAGTGCCAAGAGAAATTCTGGGGGGAGTGCGGTGATTGCCCCCGGGCAAGTTCCCCACTCTGGAGGAGGCACTCCGAGCTGTGAGTATGACCGCATTGACAGTAGCAGTGAGCAATTTTGGAAAATCCAAACAATCTTTATTATCAGGGCTTGAGAAATTTTTTTTGAGTCTAGGATCCCGCTAAAAAAAGTTTGAGCCAGTTTTTTTTTTTTTTTTTCTTTTTTAGCGTAGCGTGGGTCGTCGGCGCCCCGAGACTTTCGGAGCAAAACTGCACCACGTTTTAGGCGCCGCTGAAAATAATGGCACCTGAACCTGTATTTTGCATTCACAGCCATTTTGCTGCGATCCTAAAACGCCCAGGTGTGGTTGGAACCTTACTGATTTACATACGTACGATTCTAGATGCGTTTTGAAACTCACAGATTCGCATGACAGGCTACATATTTTGTGTTTCCTATCGAGGTGGTTCACACAGATGGGATCCACACGTATTGTGCTTTGAGCGCCATTATGAAAAGGCTCCTGTTCGAGTTTTTGGCGGTGCGTTCCGGACTCGCAAGTGGTAGAGTGGCATGCAGAGAACTGCAGTAACAATAGGGACTCAGCGAGCACTTAATAAAAGAGTGGCTATTGCACTAAAAAGGAAAACCATATGCGTTCTAAACAGATAAATATAAAAGTGTGCTGCGCTAATGACTAAATACTCTCAAGAAAATATATAAAGTGCTTATAAATATTCATGATCCGGATTATATAACCAGAATAAATAAAATGTAGTAGTGGGTCATCAAGAAAATAAATAATTGTAAACGTCCAAGCGAATCACAATATAAAAGTTCAACTAAGCATCAAAGGTGACTCTTGTAATCCCAGTAGTGTACAATCAGATATAACGGTGAAGTGCGGGGTATAGATAAAATGCACACTCACCAGACGCGCAGTATGTAAATAAGTGGTTATCAGCCAGAGGTCCCTCTATGGTAGGATGGAGTACAGCCTAGGGTGGATAGCCCTCCTCTGGAGTTTAGGGTGGGAGGTAGTCAGCCAGAGGTCCCCTTATGGATAAGCTGGAGCGTGGTAGATAGCTCTCCTCCGGATACTGGGGTGGTCACAAGGGTTTCTGGGGAAGTAAATGCTCGGTACAGAGCAGAAAGGGATATTGCCCATAGTGTAGTAATTAACCACATGCCGCCCAGCCACTGTAGAAATACGGCGACAGGGCGGCACGGCTGGGCAAAAGCACGGTTTAAAACGTGTGTTTTGAAAACAGGTAGGGGGCGCGCGCGATGCGTGCCGCCGCCCTACCTGTCCCGCCGATCACAGCCGCGGATGTCAGTCGCCAGGTCACAGCCGGTCGTTACCGGCTATGTCCCGGCGATCGGCGGCAATTGCTGACAGAGAGCACAGCTCCAGGACACGCTGATTGGGACAGAAGAGTTTCTCTCTCCTGATCAGCGTGTCCCGTGCAGTACACACCCCCGCCCCGCCCCCTAGTAAAACACTCCCCTCACACAGTTAACCCTTCCCTGAAAATAAACTTAACCCCTTCCTCCCCAGTGCTGTTAGTACAGTGTCAGTGTTTGGTTTTTTTTTTTTTGCACTGATCACTGTATTGGTTGTCACTGGGGATGTCAGTGACCCCAAGTCAGTACCCCCCCCAATGTCCGCCGCAGTCCCGCCATAAGTCGCTGATTGCCGCCATTATTAGTATAAAAAAAACCTAAAAATCCCAGTATCTTTCCCGCCATTTGTAAACGCTATAACTTTCACGTAAACCAATTAATTTACACGTATTAGGTTTTTTTTTTACCAAAGACATGTCGCAGAATACATTTTGGCAGAAATTTATGACTAAATTTGATTTTTCAATTTTTTTTTACTGGACATGTTTTATATAGCAAAAAGTCCAAAATATTGTTTTTTTTCCTCAAAATTGTCAGCCTTTTTTTTTATAGCGCAAAAAAAAAAATAAAAACCGCACAGGCGATCAAATACAATCAAAAGAAAGCTCAATTTGTGGGAAAAAAAAAGGATGTTAATTTCATTTATGTACCGTATTGCATGACTGCGCAATTGTCCGTTAAACTAGCTCAGCGCTGTATAGCAAAAAAATAGCGTAAATTGCAGTATCTATACCATAGTTTGTAGACGCTATAACTTCCACACAAAGCAATCAATATACACTTATTGGGATTTTTTTACCAAAAACATGGAGCAGAATACATTTTGGCTGAAATTTATAACCAACTTTGAGTTTTGTATATAGTTTTTATAGCTGAAAGTAAAACATATCATTTTTCTTCAAAATGTTTGGCCTTTTTTTGTTTATAGCGTGAAAAATAAAAAGCTTACAGGTGATCAAATACCACTGAAAGAAAGCTCTATTTGTGTGAAAAAAAGGACGTAAATTTCGTTTGGGTGCAGCATTGCATGACCGCGCAATTATCAGTTGAATTAGTGCAGCGCCGAGTAGCAAAAAGGAAGGGGGGTAAATCCTCAGGAGGGCAAGTGGTTAAATGCCAAGTTTTATTACAGTAAGGGTTAAAATTCCAGAAACCATTCGAATGTGTACAGGAAATACATGCAGCTTAAAGTTGCTTGATGACTGACCAGCTGGTGTGTAAAGATGGCCGCCGGACCTCCATGATCTGACGGCGTGACGTCACAGCGTGCAGGCTCCTCCTTAACGCGTTTCGTACCAGCGTACGTTGTCAAAAGGGATGTACCATTGCCGCCGGACGTCTGTCTTCTTTATATGGCCCCGAAAATGCGTGCGCAATTAATAAGCACTTTATATATTTTCTTGAGAGTATTTAGTCATTAGCGCTGCACACTTTTATATTTATGCAGAGATAACTGTTCACATGGGATTGCTATTGACAGGAAAAAGCAAGCAGTTGACTAGAGCAAACTGCAAAAAGAGCGGTATTTAAATCCAAAGCAGAGTATACTAATACACCAAAATGGATGCAAAACAGTATCTTTATTATGATCACGAAGATCCTCTGAAAGGTGGGCATAAGACATGGTGAATACACAATCAAAAAAATAAAAGCAGTGTATTAAAAAAAAAAAAAAATAAAATAAAAGTCCTGCGCATTCACTTAGCTGAATCATAGTAGATTTGTGTATGGCTAGAAAACCGGTAGTTAGGCATCTTCTGATGGAAGAAAACTTCTTCTTTAACCTCCCTGGCGGTATTCCCGAGTGTAGTTCGGGTAAAGTTTCTGTACCAAAAGCGGTAACCCCGAGCTACACTCGGGCTTACCATGCAGCGTTGCATAGGTAGTCCCTGCAGCACTTACCTTGTCCTTCGCTCCTGCGATGTGTCCCCTGCAGCGACCCCGGCCATCTCCTCCGGCTGATGCCGGCATCCGGCTTCTGTGTTCCGGTCCCTGTGACGTCGGGACATACGGGCGCCGCCGGCGGCGGGAAATTTGAAAATGTAAAAAAAGTCATTTTTTTCAAAACGAATTTTACATAGTAAAACATTGCTGTTTCAACCCATTTCACATACATTTTGTCCCGAGTGCTTCGTCCTGTCCCCTGTCTGCATTTTGACTGTTCTTTCTGCCTGGAAACTGAGAAACGTCCATGGCGTCCAAAAAGCGTCCCTTTAGGTCAAAAGTGGGTTTAGACCGGCTAGAGAACAGCGATAGTAAATCAGAAGCACTTGCAGAATTGAGGGATAATGATTTGTGGGGGAAATTCGTCATCAGGCACTGAAAACGATTCTGCGACTTTGCTCAGTGATGTGCGAACTTGGCGCTATATTTCAAATTTCAGTGTTTTTGATTTGATTATATTATTGAATTAAATGTATTATTATTATATTATTATTTTTTATGATTATTAAATTATAATTTATGATTTCGTGTTTCAAATTTTATCATACCCGGGATGTTTACTAGACTCTTGTTCGGACAGATTTCAGTGAGTTATTCCTAAAAATTACAGGCCTACAATAAAAAAAAAAATATTTCCATGCAAAATAATGGTACCGCTTTCAGCACCAAAAATCTGAAATAATCAGACCGCCAGGGAGGTTAATGAGAGACTACAGAAATGTATGGAAAGTTCACCTTCAATATGATCTGGGTAGTTGTATCTTCATAGTTTAGAATTCCTTGCTGATTTCCAGTGATAACATCGCTATAGGAAGATAAATCTTTGCACCTCACTTGTATGATCATCAATTCTGGGTGTAGAAATGACATGTAGAGTAAATCCTGGAAAATCAACGTGGGTGATGTGGTGATTGTCTCCCTACATATTACTCCTCAATAAAATGAATATGGTATCCATGTTAGATCAGATGCAAGGTACAGTCTAATACTGCAATTGTTTAAGGGGAAAGCTCAAGATTAATCTATGGCAGGGGTGGGCAACTGTGGCTTTCCAGCTGTTGAACTACAAGTTCCATCATGCCTCTGCCTTTGGGAGTCATGCTTGTAACAGTCAGTTTTGCAATGCCTCATGGGACTTGTAGTTCTACAACAGCTGGAGGATCACAGTTGCCCACCCTTGCTCTATGGCATAAGTTACCTTCACAATATCTCATCGTCATCATGAGTAAAGAAAATGGAAAGGTTCAATGTCAACATTTTATTAGCATGTTGACGTGGTGGTGGTGGGGGGGGGCAGGGAAGGCAAAATGTAAGCAGGTTTAAACTTCAGCTTTAATTCTGTTGTTCTTCAAAGATGACATGTATGGTTTGTTCTGCATACGAATAACTTGCCTCCTTTGGTTGTCGTCTTGTAGCTGGACCTTGCTGATTTCCATCGGGAGATGGAGAAAAGTCAGGCTGTGTTTCCAGAGAATCCTCATATCTGGGTGATGGACTTAGCAAGCTACCTGAACTATAAACTGCAGACTGTGAAGAATGACCCCTTGCCTCTGCAGCAATCTCACGGTGAGTGCCCTGTTAGTAACAAAATGAGGCTGTAACTGGATGACATTTAGTTTTATAAAGAAACCTATGTTTCATAATCCATTGCCACATTGGCTTTTTCTTTTCCCTGGAATACTGCTTTCCAGTCCTTTTATTGCACCTCAGTGCTGCTGATTGCTACACTTTTTTGGCCGCTTTCTGTCTAGCTGCACATGCTGTATGGTTGACGGCACATTTATTGTTCTAGATCAGCTTTTCTCAACCAGGGTGCCTTGCGGTTGGCTCGGGGGAGCCTTGGGGTTGGCTCGGGGGAGCCTTGGGGTTGGCTCGGGGGAGCCTTGGGGTTGGCTCGGGGGAGCCTTGGGGTTGGCTCGGGGGAGCCTTGGCAAGATGTCTAAAAATTGCCCAAAACTTGTATACAAACCAGCGGGTGGAACAAGCTTGCCTTTTAGTTACACAAAGCCACAGGTTTTCATTGCGCACCACTACGACCTTCTAGCCGCCGGCGTACTGACAACCAATGACATCAGTTGACAAGGAGGATGTCGGCTGCCTGCACAGCAACCTAGTGTGACTCTCCAGGGGAGCCTTGGGGTTTGCTCAGGGGAGCCTTGGGGTTTGCTCAGGGGACCCTTGGGGTTTGCTCAGGGGAGCCGTGAGGTTTGCTCAGGGGAGCCGTGAGGTTTGCTCAGGGGAGCCGTGAGGTTTGCTCAGGGGAGCCGTGAGGTTTGCTCAGGGGTGCCTTTGCAAGATGTCTAAAAATTGCCCAAAACTTGTATACAAACCAGCGGGTGGTACAAGCTTGCCTTTTAGTTACACAAAGCCACAGGTTTTCATTGTGCACCACTACGACCTTCTAGCCGCCGGCGTACTGACAACCAATGACATCAGTTGACAAGGAGGATGTCGGCTGCCTGCACAGCAACCTAGTGTGACTCTCCAGGGGAGCCTTGAGGTTTGCTCAGGGGTGCCTTGGGGTTTGTTCAGGGGAGCCTTGGCAAGATGTCTAAAAATTGCCCAAAACATGTATACAAACCAGCGGGTGGAACAAGCCTGCCTTTTAGTTACACAAAGCCACAGGATTTCATTGCGCACCACTACAAAATTCTAGCCGCCGGCGTACTGACAACCAATGATATCAGTTGACAAGGAGGATGTCAGCTGCCTGCACAGCATCCTAGTTTGACCCTCCCCTGCCCCTCTCTATCAGTGCTGGGGTCACATTCGCTCAGTGATGAAGAAAAACTGAGGGAGAAGATAAACATTGGAATACTAGTCAGTACCAGTGTGCAAAAGTGTATTTGCTTTGGAAGAATAAATCACCTCTAATGTTGGGTGTCCTACGTGTGTGGGTGTTGCGTTTGTTATATAAAACTATTAGAATAGTTTTTCACATTTTAGAATGGGGTGTCCTTTTAGAATGGACAGTCTAGAGACACCCCATTTTAGAATGGGGTGCCTCGGGACTGTCTATAATTTTAAAGGGTGCCTCGGGACTGTCTATAATTTTTAAAGGGTGCCTCGGGACGGTCTCTGATTTTAAAGGGTGCCTCGGGACGGTCTCTGATTTTAAAGGGTGCCTCGGGACGGTCTCTGATTTTCAAGGGTGCCTCGGGACGGTCTCTGGTTTTCAAGGGTGCCTCGGGACGGTCTCTGGTTTTCAAGGGTGCCTCGGGACGGTCTCTGGTTTTCAAGGGTGCCTCGGGACGGTCTCTGGTTTTCAAGGGTGCCTCGGGACGGTCTCTGGTTTTCAAGGGTGCCTCGGGACGGTCTCTGGTTTTCAAGGGTGCCTCGGGACGGTCTCTGGTTTTCAAGGGTGCCTCGGGACGGTCTCTGGTTTTCAAGGGTGCCTCGGGACCGTCTCTGGTTTTCAAGGGTGCCTCGGGACCGTCTCTGGTTTTCAAGGGTGCCTCGGGACGTCTCTGGTTTTCAAGGGTGCCTCGGGACCGTCTCTGGTTTTCAAGGGTGCCTCGGGACCGTCTCTGGTTTTCAAGGGTGCCTTGACCGAAAAAAGGTTGAGAAACACTGCTCTAGATTGTGCACCTGATGGTGACAACGGAGGGCTGTGCCTGCGCAGTAATGGTGGAGACTACAAGCAGCTGTGCTGACGCACAGGGTTTTTACTAAATGGTGCAGCTCTGCATAGAGACCAATCAGCTTCCAGGTTTTATTGTTGAAGCTCAATTGAACAAGCTGAAGTTAGAAGCTGATTGGCCGCCATGCACAAAGTGCACCAGTTTTTAGTAAATCTACCAATTGTCCAACGTTGTCAGGAAGCTGGTCCAAAGCAATGATGTGCAGTCGATGCTGCATGTAGACAGGAAGTGACTGGAGGAGATACTGAGATTTGGGGGGGGGGGGGGGTAGATAAACAACAAAAAAAATAAAAGAAAACCAATATTTAAAGTTGAAGAAAATTCTAACTATAACTATTCCTAAAAATGTTCCCTTCTACTGATCTTGCGTAACCTGTATAAACAAAGATGTGTGTTCTCATAGTTTACATAGTTAGTCTGGCTGAAAAAAGACAAAAGTCCATCCAGTTCAACCATAGAAAAAAAAGTTATAATCCTATACCCACAGTAGATCCAGAGGAAGACAAAAAGCACAATCCAATTTGATTTGCTTTATCAGTTTTAATCCACTCTGGTCCAGTCACATCATCCTTCAGCTTTGGCTTCACTGTGTTGGTGAACGGCTGCTGCAAGGGGAAGGAGGGAGCACCAACTACGGCTAGCCCAATGGAACCTATGGGTGATGTCACGGCCCCCAGAATTCACCTTACACAGTGCTGCAGGATCATGTGACCGGAGCGGATTGAAAATAGGCGAGTACTTTGTATGTTCACCTCTCGATACCTCAATAAAGCTTTTTTTTTTTTGTAGCAGAAAATGCGTAAGTACACAGGTCTCTTTTATACTGGGTAGGTAGGACGAACGGGGTGGGAACATTTTTAGGAATAGTTATAGTTAAGTGTTTTCATCCATTTTTAATGAACCACTTCAAGTTCGGACACTTTCACCCCCCCTTCCTGCCCAGGCCAATTTTCAGCTTTCAGTGCTATCACACTTTGAATGACAATTGCGCAGTCATGCAACACTGTACCCATATGAATTTAGTAGCATTTGTTTGAGACAGATAAAGCTTTATTTTGGTGGTATTTAATCTCCACTGGGATTTTTATTTTTTTTAATTTTTTTTTTTTTTGCTATATAAATGAAAGTCCAAACATTTTTGAAAAGTCTTTCTTATAAAATTTTGCAAATAAATTATCTTTCTTCTTAAATCTTGGCCAAATTTTATGCGGTTACCTTTTTATTATAAACATTTTTTTTTTAATATTTCAGTTAATTTTTATATATATATATATATATATATATATATATATATATATATATATATATATATATATATATACACATTTTTTTTTTTTTTAACATACTGTCAACCTAGCCGTACAGTGTCACCATAGTGACACTGTACTACTTGTGGGGGGTGTGTTGATTTTTTTTTTTTTTTCTTTAACATTGATTGCTATTATACCCATAACGGCTGTAAAAGAAATAATTTATCCTTCTCTCTGGCTGCATTCTTGCAGCCATTGAGAAATACTGTGAGCTGTAATTGATGACAGCTTGTCACATGGTACAAGGCTGTTGTGAATAGCCTTGTACCATGTGACCTTGGTGATCATTCACAGATTTCACACGTAGTAAGCAATGATGTCAGAAGTGACATCTTGCTTACTACTATTCATGTGATCGGGACCTCAGAGGTCCCATACAGCCATCGGACACAGCAAGCACAGGGAGCGCGCACAACCTGGAATTAGATAAGTATCCCCTTCCTGGAGAGTCGAATCCTACCACTAGCACCCCAAATCAAATGATTTGTCCTTTTTAATTTCACAATTCATTTTTAGAGTGTGTTCAAGAAGAATTCCTGAGAATTGCATGTAATCCGCTGTTTTCTCACAGATTACCCCTACTGTCTGGTGAACAAGGAGCTAAAGAACATGATCAGATCAGTGCTTTCCAAAGCCCCCTCCGTATTAAATTTACTGGTGGATAATTGTATACGATCAATGCTGGAGGAGCTGGAGAAACCCACAGGTAATGGCACAAAGGTCTACTGCCCAGGGATGGGAAAATTTATGCGAGTAGTGTGCTAATAAATTACTTAGAACCAGTGGTGCACTGAAATCAAAATTCTGGTGCCAAAACTGTAAATTCAGGATGTATTTGGCCGAAAACTGAAAAGGACAGTTTTTAAAAAATAATTTTTCAAACGCAATTTTTGGGGAAAAAAATACACTTTCGATTTAAAAAAAAAAAATAAAATAAAACAATACATATACCCTATTTTTTTTGTAAAATATGAAAGCTGTTGTTACACGTAAATAGAAACCTAACATGTCACGCATTCAAATTGCGCACGCTCGTAAAATGGCGTCAAACTACGGTTCTATCTCCATGAGTGACGTTTAAAAATTTCTACAGGTTACCAGTGTAAAGTTAGAGGAGGTCTAATGCTAGAATTATTGCTCTTGCTCTGATGTTCATCGCGATACCTCACGTGAGGATGGAACACGTTTTACATGTGTGGGTGTGGCCTACGTATGTGTTGACCACTGCATGCGAGCACGGGGGACTTGGCACTTTAAATTCTTTATTTTATTTTTTTTTATTTTTACACCGTCCCTTTAAAAAAAATTGTAATCACTTTTATTCCTATCACAAGAAATGCATGCATCCCTTGTGATAGAAATAATTAGTGACAGGTCCTCTTTATGGAGAGATATGGGGTCAATAAGACCCCACATTTCTCCTCTACAATGTAAAGCATTAGATAAAAAAAAGAATTGATCCTAGTGCTTTAAAAAAAATGGCCTTATTTACAAGGCGCCGGAACGGGAAGTGACATCACTCAGGTTCTCCAAGGGCATAGAGATGAGTGGAGGCCATCTTTCCTTCACTTATCTCTATGTCCAGTGCCATGATCGTTCAGTGGTTTTGCAGGTAAGTCTTGAGAACTACCGAGCGGCGGCAGCCGCGACAGTTTGCAGTGTTATTTTTGGCACCTGTATCGTTGCCTATTTTCATATCAGCCAATAGGGGTGTTTTCGGCCAAAACATTTCGGCCACTGAAATTTCAGTGCACCTTTACTTAGAACCCCAAATAAAAGAAAAAAAAATATATATATATATTTATGGCCAATGATCAGTGATCACATGATTGGGACCTCACACAGAGGGTCCCGTACAGCGATCGGTGTTCCGCTGTGACACAGCAGGCATCGGATCGTGGTGCCGTGCGCACCCAGGCTAAAATGGCGGGCAACCCTCTCCTGCCTGGCCGTGTGTGAGATAGATAGATATAGAGATATGTAGCTGTAGATATATAAAATAGAATTCCGTGTGGGGAAATATCTCCGCCAACATGACGTTGTTATGTACTTGTCAGCAGGTGACTCTGTTCACGGTTATCAGATTTGCATCCAGGCTGTTCTGCTCGACAAGCCCAAGGCCGTGACCCTCGATCTGAAGAAGGTAAATATTCCGTACTGTCATGAATAATGTGAATATTGCAGAAACAGATGGTTTTGTTATTTAATCCTTTAACAGTAAAAAAAAAAAAAAAAAAAAAAAAAAACTTATATTTTGTTTAAAAATATAAAAAAAAAAAACTTATATATTGATACAAGGACTAGCCCACAGCAGCTTTTATTGGAAACTGATGAAACATTTTCTGTTTGTCCCCCCAGTACCTGGATATGCTTCGTGCCCAACAAAGTAAACCGGCAAAGTGCCTGACAATCATGTGGGTTGTGGGTCAGACAGGATATGTGGACCTGACCGAGGGACTGAAAGGTGGGTTGGTTGTCGTAAGTGGGACAATGCATGTCACTCGTGGTGCCTCTGTTTCACATGGGTATCTTTTTTTTTTTTTTTTTTTTTTCTTTTTTTTCAGTGTGGCTCGGTCTCATGCTGCCGGTGCTGGGGATCAAGTCGCTGTCACCCTATGCCATATCCTATCTGGATCGCCTGCTACTGTGAGTCTTTTGGGGTGCATGAGACGGGCACTATCTAGATGATGGGAAGTGGCTTCCACCAGAGTGTGTGCAAGTGACACCAGTTCCTAGTAGGGGCTGAAGTGTGTTCCTGCTGTATATTCCCGTCTTGATATTAATGCCTTGGTGCTGGCGCCTCCCGGCCCTTTAAGGGTTCTGGGAGGCGGGGCGAGGTTTTAGGGTCATGTGACCGCCGTGATTTGCTGTCACGGCGGTCACATGATCGGGCATGGTTCCAATCGAAAGAGGAGATCGGGACCTTTCCGTGAGTACCGAACGTGTGTGCTGGTGTTTTTTTTATTAATAGAACGCAAATGTGCGGTCGCTCGGCGTCTAGGCCCAGACGCCAGAAAGCCGCACATTTTCTTTTGGCCGGCGCCAAGAGGTTAAAGCAATTGTGTAGTGATTTGGTACACATTGTGTTTATTGTGACCAGAAGTTTTTTGTCCACCGCAAATGTGGATGTGAGTATTCTGTAGTTTTTTTTATATGTAGTCTATGTGTGGAGCTTTAGTTTTCATTTTACATGCTTTCTGTTCTTGTCTCATTTTGTAAAAAAAGCTGTTAACAGAGCTCAGTAGCTCAAGCTCAGATTTACACACATAAATGATCGAGTCAGAGCAAGAAGTAGACAAGTGTCGGGTGTGGAAATTTTTGAAAAAACGACTTGTCCAAGGACTAAATCGGGCCCCAATCTACATGTCCCTCATGACAATCTACTTGTCCAGATAACAAAAAAAAAAATTCAAATGAATGGGCTCTTGTGCCCGTGCAAAACGCAGCCCGTACGGCCGCATTCATGTGAACCAGGGGCAAGGGAGAACCCAAAGGTTGCTTTGTGTTCCCTGTGTGAACGGCCACACTGCCTTGTCATCCATACACAGGTATCTGTGAATGCAAATATTGCAAGTCTCATATGCGGCAGAGGGACTTGGCTACACTTTTGTAGCCCATTGTTTCCTCCAGCCCCATAACAGAAGGGCTGTCCCTGTGGTTAACTATTCAAGGAGCCTCTACATTGCACCTACAATGCACTGTTTGTGCTTGTAGTGCTCTGCAGGCTTGCAAAAATGTAACAAATGCAGTTTTTATTCATTGCTTAAAAAAAAAAAAAAAAAAAAAAAAAAGTATAAAGAAACTACCTGCCTGATGTTTTTTAACCACTTCCCACCCAGCCCATGTATGTAAACGGCCAGATGGGAGTATTGCAGGATCGGTTGGCCATTTATAAACATCCTCTCCCGCTTCCCTGCCTGTGCGCGCTCCCTGTGAGCGCGCGACACTGCGATCTGGTGCCCGCTGTGTCCGGAGGACATGAGGACATTCTGTATCAAACATTTGCTGTGTTTTTTTTTTTTTTTTTTTTTTTTTTTCTTTAACCACTTCCCATCCGGGCCATGTACATAAATGGCCGGCTGGGAGCAGTGCAGTAGTGGGTTGCTGTTTATAAACGGCGCCCGCATTTTCAGGTTGTGTACGCTCCCTGGGAGTGCGCGGCACCGCGAACCGCGATACAGTGCCCACTTCATCCGGCAGACACTGTAGAACACCGATCGCTGTACGGGAGCTCTGTGCGAGGTCCCCATTGTGATCACTGATTGGCCAATCAGTGATCACATGAACAGCAGTAAGCAAGATGTCACTTCTGACATTGCTTACTACGTGTGAAATTTGTGAATGATCACAGAGGTCACATGGTACAGGGCTATTCACAGCAGCCTTGTACAATGTGACAAGCTGTGACCAATCACAGCTCACACAGTATTTCTCAATGGCTGCAAGAATGCAGCCAGAGAGGAGGAGAAATGATTGCTTTTACAGCCTCCTATGGGTGTAAAAGCAATCAGTGTAAAAAAAAAAAACTTCACCCCACGCAAGTAGTACAGTGTCACCATGTACTGCTAGGGTGACAGTATGTTTAAATAAATATATATATAGAGATAGATAGAGAGAGAGAGATAGAGATCTAGATATATAGAAATAGATATATATATATAGATAGATATATATATATTAGATATTTTTTTTTTTAAATTATACTTTTTTGGTGTTAAACTAATTTGGCCTATTTTGTTTTACTAAAAAGAGAATTGAATAAATTTTGGCTAAGATTTATGAAGAAAGATTATTTATTTGCAAAATTGTATAAGAAAAACACTTTTTTTTTTTCAAAATGTTTGGACTTTTTCATTTATGTAGTAAAAAAAATAAAAATCCCAGCGGTAAATAAATACCACCAAAATAAAGTTTTATCCGTCTCAAAAAATGTTTTAAAAATCCATATGGGTACAGTGTTGCATGACCGCGCAATTGTCATTCAAAGTGTGACAGCACTGAAAACTGAAAATCGGCCTGGAGAGGAAGGGGGTGAAAGTGTCCGGACTTGAAGTAGTTAAAGAAGATAAATATTGAATCTGTGTAGCTTGAGCTTCCACCGGCACATATTGTCTGATATTAATGAAAAATATTCTTGTATCAGACTTCTTATTTAGTGCAATTATTAAAGAAAGATCTTTTTGAAGTTCTAAAACTCAATGGGTAGCTTCTCATGAAGTGTACAGGCAGCTCTGGAGTTTGGGAATAACTAGATATTAAATTAATATCTATTATTGATATCTAAAATATATTACTGTGTTAATGATGGTTTTTTGTTTTGCAGGATGCATTCTAACTTGACCAAAGGTTTTGGCATGATCGGCCCGAAGGATTTCTTCCCCCTTCTGGACTTTGCTTACATGCCAAATAACTCTCTGACTGTCAGGTACATAGTTCATATTGTTGTGTTTTTTTTTTTTTTTTTTTTTAAGTGACAGTTAAGATGATCTCTAAAATTGCCTTTTTCTCTTAAAGTGGAACTTTAGGTAATGCAGAAAAAATGGGTGAACAGGCAGGATTTTTAATGCAGAGGAGACCTACTTTGTTTCTTTTGTATTAACCACGTGCTAACCGCGCTACAGCCGAATGACGGCTACAGCGCAGCTGTCCAGTTCTGGGAGGGCGTCATATGATCTCCCAGAACGCGTCCTCTGGCACGCACTCGCCGATCTCCATGATCGTTGTGTCCTACGGACACAGCTATCACATGATGTGGTAAAAGGCCAATCACAGCGGCCTCTTGCCACATAATCAGCTGTGTCCAATGACACAGCAGATCACGGAGTAAATACAGTTGCCAGTTATCGGCTGCACTTTCCTCACGCTGCTACAGCGTAAGGAAAGTGCTGCTGATAACTGGCAGCTGTATTTGTGTGAAAAGATAAAAGTTTCATATGGGTACAATGTTGCATGACCGCGCAGTTGAAAAGTGGACTGGGCACGAAGGGAGTAAAAGCGCCCGGTAGGCAAGTGGTTAACCCCCCCTTTCTGGCACAGCGTGAGGAAAGTACTACCGATAACCGGTTTGTCAGAGAATAAGATCGGCCCTGATGATCAGTGCCGGGAAGTGCTGTCCGCCAGTCAGCGCCCATCTTTGCTGCCTATCAGTGTTGCCTATCTGTGCCACCTCATCAGTGCAGCCTCATCAACGCACATCAGTGAAGGAGAAAAATTTTTACCTGTTTTGCAAAATTTTATAATAGAAACAAAGAAACTTTTTTTTTTAAAATTTTTTGGATTTTTTTTTTGTTTCATACTGCAAAATTAAAACACCCAGTGGCAATTAAATACCGCCAAAAGAAAGCGCTATCTGTGTGAAAAAAAAATGATACAAGTTTCATATGGGTACGATGTTGCATGACCGCGTAGTTGAAAATTGGCCTGGGCACGAAGGGAGTAAAAGTGCCCCCGTAGGCAAGTGGTTAACCCCCCCCCCCCCCCTCCTGACCAAGCTATTTCACAGGATATCCTGTGAATCGCGTTGACATCAGCTTACATCCATTGCATTTTAGCGTGTGAATAGAACACATTGTAAATGATTGTTTTACAGATGTCCTTCCGTTTTTGATCTGCGTTTTACAATTGCGTTAAGCAGATGAACGCACTGGTATGAATTGGCCTTTATTTGCAAAATTGTTGTTTTTAGCAGAAAATACAAATCCCAGTTTTGATTAACCCCTTGCCTACCGGGCACTTAAACCCCCTTATTTACCAGGCCAATTTTCAGCTTTCAGCGCTGCCGCACTTTGATTGACAATTGCGCGGTCATGCAACGTTGTACCCATATTAACCTTTGATCATTTTTTTTCTCACAAATAGAGCTTTCTTTTGGTGGTATTTAATCGCCGCTGGGCGCTTTACTTTTTGCGCTATAAATAAAAAAAGTGCAAAAAATTTGAAAAAAAAAAAAAGTTTCTTTGTTTCTATTATAAAATTTTTCAAACAGGTAATTTTTCTCCTTCACTGATGTGCGTTGATGAGGCAGCACTGATAGGCGGCACTGATAGGCAGCACTAAAGGGCACTGATAGGCAGTACTAATGAGGTGGCATGGATAGACGGCACTGATAGGCAGTACTAATGAGGTGGCACGGATAGACGGCACTAATAGACAGCACTAATGAGGTGTCACGGATAGGCGGCACTGATAGACAGCACTAATGAGGTGGCACGGATAGACGGCACTGATAGACAGCACTAATGAGGTGTCACGGATAGGCGGCACTGATAGACAGCACTAATGAGGTGTCACGGATAGGCGGCACTGATAGACAGCACTAATGAGGTGGCACGGATAGACGGCACTGATAGACAGCACTAATGAGGTGTCACGGATAGGCGGCACTAATATGCAGCACTGATAGGCGGCACTGATAGGTGACACTGATGATGGGTACTGATAGACGGCACTGACTGGCGGCACTGCTGGGCACTGACTGGCACAACCCCTGGGCACTGACTGGTGGCACTGACTGGCAGCACTGGTGGGTGGGCACTGGTGGGTGGGCACAGGTGGGTGGGCACTGGTGGGCACAGGTGGGTGGCAGTGCTGGGCACAGGTGGGTGGCAGTGCTGGGCACAGGTGGGTGGCAGTGCTGGGCACAGGTGGGTGGCAGTGCTGGGCACAGGTGGGTGGCACTGCTGGGCACAGGTGTGTGACACTGTAGAGTGGCACAGGTGGGCGGAACTTGTGTGTGGCACTGCTGGGCACCGATCATCAGGGCACTGATCATCAGTGCCCTGATGATCGGTGCCGATCCCCGCTCTGACAACTGCCGGTTCTCGGCAGTACTTTCCTCACAATCTGACAGCGTGAGGAAAGTGCAGCCGAGAACCGGCACTTGCATTTCCCTCTGATCAGCGTGTCATTGGACACCACTGATCAGGTGGTAAAAGGCCGCTGTGATTGGCCTTTTACCACATCACGTGATCAGCTGTGTCCGTAGGACACAGCGATCATGGAGATCGCCGAGTGCGCGTTCTGGGAGGACGTCATATGACGTCCACTCAGAACTGGCCGGCCGTCAGTGCAGCCGTCATTCGGCTATCTGCGGTCGGCAACTAGTTAAATACCACCAAAATAAAGCTTTATCTGTAAAAAAAAGAAAAATATCGTATGGGTGCAGTGTTGCATTGTCATTCAAAGCGCATCAGTGAAATTTTGGCGTGGGCAGGAAGGGGATGAAAGTGCCCGGTATTGAAGTTATTAAAAAAAAAAAAAAAAAAGTCTGAAGGAAAAGCCGTGCCTATGTGAAGTAACAGAATGTGTGATGGCTCATTCATTGTAACTTTTGTGAATCAGGACAGGTTAATATCACATTAATCCAGTGTGGTTATAGCCAGCAGGAACAGCTGCGAGACCTGTACCCTAGGCTGAAGGTTTTGGCGTTCGGAGCGACACCAGAAAACACATTGCACACCTACTTCCCATCCTTCCTGTCCAGAGCTACGCCCAACTGCCCTTCTGCTATGAGGAAAGAGGTGAGATCTCCCCTTCACGTATGTAACAGGTCTTTGCACCATGACTCTGAAGCTGCCCATACACCAATAGATTTTCAGACAAAAAGTCTCAGTACATTCGATGAATTGACATGTCTTTTTTTGAAAGTACTTCAAATTTAATTTCCTTTATCATTCAGTTTTGGAGTAAATCCAATTTCCTAAACGCATACACGATCAGAAATTTGAGAAAAATTTTCCATCCTGCTTCTTTGAATTTTCTCGTCACTAAAAAAAACCGCCAATTTATAATTACTAGCAATTTGAAAATCCAACATTCATAAAGAGAAAACAAAATTCTTCTGCTGTATGGTCAGCTTTATTTTCTTCTCTCTTTCTCGCGCCCTCTCTCTTTCTCGCGCCCTCTCTCTTTCTCGCGCCCTCTCTCTTTCTCGCGCCCTCTCTCTTTCTCGCGCCCTCTCTCTTTCTCGCGCCCTCTCTCTTTCTCGCGCCCTCTCTCTTTCTCGCGCCCTCTCTCTTTCTCGCGCCCTCTCTCTTTCTCGCGCCCTCTCTCTTTCACGCGCCCTCTCTCTTTTCACGCGCCCTCTCCCTCTCACGCGCCCTCTCCCTCTCACGCGCCCTCTCCCTCTCACGCGCCCTCTCCCTCTCACGCGCCCTCTCCCTCTCACGCGCCCTCTCCCTCTCACGCGCCCTCTCCCTCTCACGCGCCCTCTCCCTCTCACGCGCCCTCTCCCTCTCACGCGCCCTCTCCCTCTCACGCGCCCTCTCCCTCTCACGCGCCCTCTCCCTCTCACGCGCCCTCTCCCTCTCACGCGCCCTCTCTCTCTCACGCGCCCTCTCTCTCTCACGCGCCCTCTCTCTCTCTCACGCGCCCTCTCTCTCTCACGCGCCCTCCCCCCCTTCTCTGTACTGAACTCACAATGTCAGAAGTGATGATATTGGTCTGTGACTGGTGGAGCAGGGAACGATGTAACTAGCTCTCTGTACAGCATCGTAGTATATATCAGAACTATGTAAATGTATAATAGTTTACGACTGCTGCACCAGAGCAGCTTACGCTCTAATATCCCCCCCACAGTCCCACATTATTATTATTTATATTGCACTGACATATACCGTAGTGCTGTACAGAGAACACTGAGCCAGTCACATCAGTCTCTGTGCCAGAGGAGCTTACACTCTAATGTCCCCCACAGTCACGCACTATATTATACATTTATATAGCTCTGACATATACCATGATGCTGTACAGTGAGCCAGTCACATCAGTCCCTGCACCAGAATCCCCACCACAGTCACACACACTAAAGAATAATAATAAAAAATATACACTTAGTGCTCTGACATATACTGCAGCGCTGTACAGAGAACACTGAGCCAGTCACATCAGTCTCTGTACCAGAGGAGCTTACACTCTAATGTCCTCCCCCCCCCCCCCCACAGTCACACACTATTATTATACATTTATATAGCTCTGACATATACTGCAGCGCTGTACAGAGAACACTGAGCCAGTCACATCAGTCTCTGTACCAGAGGAACTTACACTCTAATGTCCCCCACAGTCACACACTATTATTATACATTTATATAGCTCTGACATATACTGGAGTGCTGTACAGAGAACACTGAGCCAGTCGCATCAGTCTCTGTACCAGAGGAGCTTACACTCTAATGTCCCCCACAGTCACACACTATTATTATACATTTATATAGCTCTGACATATACCGCAGCGCTGTACAGAGAACACTGAGCCAGTCACATCAGACTATGCATCAGAGGAGCTTACACTCTATTGTCCCCATCACAGAGACTGATGTCAGTGTTCTCTGTACAGCACTGTGGTATATGGCAGAGCTATATAGACTTGTAATAATAGTGTGTGACTGACAGGATATCCGAGTGTAAGCTCCCCTAGTGTAAAGATTGTTGTCAGTGGCTTAGTGCACTTTACAACACTGCAGATTGTCAGAGATCTATAAATGTATATCAATAGTGTGCGACACTGGTGGGGTAATAGAGTGTAAGCTCCACCAGTGCGAGACTGATATGGCTCAGTGTTCTCTGTACAGCATATCGGTATATGTCACAGCTATATAAATAATAATGTGTGAAGGTATGTTCAGGACGTTGGAATTTAAAGTAAATTTGTGTGGTTTCCACAGCAGGTAAACTTTTTTTTTTTTTTTTTTTTTTTTTTTTTTAAATTTTTTCATCAAGTGTTGAGATTGAATCCTCCTGGATGTGACAGGTTCACTTTTTATCTCTGTTGCAGAATAATAATGTTCTTTTTTAGCTTCTGCACAGCCTCTACGAATGTCTGAACGTCGACCCTCTTAGCTTTAGTGTGTGGCGGCAGCTTTACACCAAACATCTACCGCAGTCCAGGTAACGGCAGCCTTATGTCTGCGTGACTTGTTTTAGATTGTTTTTTTTTTTTTTTTCTTTCCTTTTTCTTCCTTGTTTGCCTCCAGGACTTCTCCAGAGCCTCTCCCATCCTCTGAAACTTCCTACCCCAGTCTTTCTTTCTGACTATATCTTACTCTGTGTCTGCCTCTAGGCAACCAGTGAATATTCGTCTCTTCAGGGAAGCCTAACCCCCTCTACTTAACCACTTCCCGTCCAGCCGTTGTATATAAACGGCCGGACGGTGGCAGTGCAGGGGCGGGTTGCCGTTCATAAACGGCGCCCGCCATTTTGGATTGTGCACGCTTCCTGGGAGCGGGCGGCACCCCGATCCGGTGCCCGCTTTGTCCTCCAGACAGCGGAACACAGATCGCTGTAAGGGACCTCTTTGTGAGGTCCCGATCATGTGATCACTGAGCGGCCAATCAGTGATCACATGAATGGGTGTAAACAAGATGTCACTTCTGACATCATTGCTTACTACGTGTGAAATCTGTGAATGATCAGAGGTCACATGGTACAGGGCTATTCACAACAGCCTTGTACCATGTGACAAGCTGTGTCCAATCACAGCTCACACAGTATTTCTCAATGCCTGCAAGAATGCAGACAGAGAGAAAGAGAAATTATTGCTTTTACATCCTTTATGGATGTTAAAGCAATCAGTGTAAAAAAAAAAAAAATCTTCATCACCCTCCAAGTAGTACAGTGTCACCATGGTGACACTGTACTGCTAGGGTGACAGTATGTAAAAAAATAAATATAAAAAAATATAATAAAAAAAATATATATATAATTTTTGGTTATAAACTAATTTGGGTTGTGTTTTTTTTTTTTTTTTTTTTACTAAAAAGATAACTTAAAAAATTTTGCTTAAGATTTATAAAGAAAGATTATTTGCAAAATGTTACAAGAAAAACCCTTTTTTTTTCAAAATTCTTGGACTTTTTCATTTCTATAGCAAAAAAAAATAAAAATCCCAGTGGTGAATAAATACCACCAAAATAAAGTTTTATCTGTCTCAAAAAAAACCCCCCCCCAACAAGTAGTACAGTGTCACTATGGTGACACTGTACTGCTAGGGTGACAGAATGTTAAAAAAAAAAAAAAAAAAAAAAATGTAAAAAAAAAAAAACAAAACTGAAATTATAATGAACTAATTTGGGTTATTTTTTTTATTACAAAAGATGAATACATTTTGGCCAAGATTTATGAAGAAAGATTATTTGCAAATGCTATAAGACAAACACTTTTTTCAAAATTTTTGGACTTTTTCATCTATATAGCAAAAAAGAAAAATCCCAGAGGTGAATAAATACCACCAAAATAAAGTTTTATCTGTCTCAAAAAATCACCCCCCCCAACAAGTAGTACAGTGTCACTATGGTGACACTGTACTGCTAGGGTGATAGAATGTTAAAAAAAAATATAAAAAAATAAAATAAAAATGTGAAGAAAAAAAGAAAACTGAAAAATTTTAATGAACTAATTTGGGTTATTTTTTTTTTTTTATTACAAAAGATAGATGAATAAATTTTGGCCAAGATTTATGAAGAAAGATTATTTGCAAAATGCTATAAGAAAAACACTTTTTTTTCAAAATTTTTGGATTTTTTTCATCTATATAGCAAAAAAAAAAAAGAAAAATCCCAGTGGTGAATAAAAACCACCAAAATAAAGTTTTATCTGTCTCAAAAAAATTCATATGGGTACAGTGTTGCATGACCGCGCAATTGTCATTCAAAGTGTGACAGCACTGAAAGCTGAACATTGGCCTGGACAGGAAGGGGGTAAAAGTGTCCGGACTTGAAGTGGTTAACAACTGAACTTTTACTTTCTCCATCAACTCCTCCCTCACAGTTGTTACCTTTTTTTTTTATCACTTACCCACCTCTTAGATTGGACGCTGTCATGTGCACAGCCTTTCTAACCACCTTGTCTGGACTTAATATATTTGTACTGTCTTCTTTTATATTGTGAAGCGTTGGACAACTGTTACCATTCTATAAATCCTGTCTAATATTGTTTCTTGTCTCTTGCAGCCTGCTCCTACAGCATGTTGTTACTTCCTGGGAAACAACGTCCAGACCGGTAAGTTGGACAACCAGCAAGTTTTGGATACAAACCTCTAAGTTTTGTGCGTTGGGTGTCTGTTCTCATATATTCAAACTAGAACACTGCAAAGAATGTTAGAATCGGAAAGTCTGTTTGGGACATTTCTGTACATATGAGCTGCCTGCTCCGTGTACCATGTAACACGCGGTACTCCTAGAAACAAGCACCCTCTAACCTACTTTTGGAGTTGTCCTACTTTTTACTGTATCCTCAGTTTTTATAAAAATTTGAAAACAAAACACATTGTAACGGAACCGACCCAGACTGCTTGGGTACTTCCGTTAGAATACCGCTTCCCCGTCCGAACACCGACAACAGACACCACAGCCGACCATACAAGACTAGACGACACCAGTCTTGAAGTAAACCAGGAGGTAGACTAGTTTTATCTGAACACAAATACAAGACATATACAAAAATAGGTATCATACTCACAATGGACATAATACCACAGGCATGTCAAACTGAACAAGACGTATGATCCAAACAACATCTGAGTCCATACGATGGAACCCTGGATGACCAACTGGCTAACGCGTTTCGAGGAGACAACCTCTTCCTCAGAGCCAACCGTCTTGTTCAGTTTGACATGCCTGTGGTATGATGTCCATTGTGAGTATGATACCTATTTTTGTATATGTCTTGTATTTGTGTTCAGATAAAACTGGTCTACCTCCTGGTTTACTTCAAGCTGGTGTCGTCTAGTCTTGTATGGTCGGCTGTGGTGTCTGTTGTCGGTGTTCGGACGGGGAAGCGGTATTCTAACGGAAGTACCCAAGCAGTCTGGGTCGGTTTCCGTTATAATGTGTTTTATTTTCAAATTTTTATAAAAACTAACGGAACCGACCCAGACTGCTTGGGTACTTAGTAAGCTTCTCGGCCTTTTGGCTAAGATCAAGTGTAGTATCTGTTCTTATCAGTGTCCAGTGGGGGTGCTCCCGACCATTCTAGCTTTGCGGGGATGGTTGTTGTATAGTACCCTCACTGGTATGATGGGGGTCCGGAAGGCTAGTACCGGAGGGACAGAAACCGGGGAGCGCCACGAGTATAAGCTGGGGCCCCGGGAGTAATTCCTCTGAGAAGACTGGAAGGACCCAGTACCTCCTGATTTGGACGGATCTACCTTGGTCTGGCCTGGGGCTGGGGACGCAAAAAGTCCGCAAACTCAGTGCCCCCCTGAGTAGTCGCCTCAGGGGTGTCACTAGCTACACTTGGGTGTGGGACCCCACGGTGTGAAGATGACACATGGTCACTGTTTTTCACCTCTTTTTGCACAGCGCCCTAAGGACCAGGCCTTTTGGCTAAGTTCAGGGCAATTTTTGCTACAGGCCTCAGGGCCTGGTCTGTGCACAATTCGGCACGGTACCACTTTTTTATTTTTTCTTTCTCTTATTTATTTATTTATTATGCACTTACCCACGTTTGTCACTTTTTCTTTGCCTTATGTGTGTGTTTTTCACGGATGGAGGGTGTGGGTCCTCGGGCCTACCCTGAAGTCTAGGGGGAGGATGTGTGGCCATACGGTTCCTTCCTCCCCTGATCCCTAGAGGACTCTTCTCCGGGAGAGTCCCCTTGCCTAGTACTGAATGTCCGGCTTCGGCTGGGCATAGGGAACGGTGGTCCACCAGGCCTTTTGGCCAGGAGGACCAAGTGGGAACCTTGTCCCTGTCAGGAGCTTCGTGCCCCGGGGGGGGATCAGGGTAAGCGGTCCAAGCCCCTTTAGGGGTAGGACACAGCACACCCCTAAGTGCACTTTTTGTGTGGTGTTTTTGCACTTGCACTTTTTTGTGAAACACTTACGGGTTTTTTCGTATAGTTGCACGTTTGCGGACTTAAAAAAAAAAAAAAAAAAAAATTAGTAAGCTTGAGTTAGGCTACGTTCACACTAGCTTTGTCAGCGGGCGTCAGACAGGTGTTTGGGAAGCGTTTTTAACGCTTTTTTAAACGCCTATGAAAATTCTGCACATGGCAACACACAATGCTGTTCACACTGAAGCTTTCACGTCGCGGCAAAACTGACACCTCATGTGGAGTCAGGAGGAGTTGAAGCCTCCCATTCCAGTCTATGGTGATGCTCCGCAAACGCCTAGAGCGTTAATACCATTTAACTTCATTATAGGCATTTGTGGTGTGGTTTTAACACTTGGCAAACGCCTCAAAACCACGCATAGGGTATTTGAGGAGCGTTAAAAACTCTTCCCAAACGCCTGTCTATTGCCTGTCAAATGCTATCGGGGCATTTGGCAGGAGTTAGAAACAAGTCATCTCACATTTTTTTTTAAATGACAGCTGGTGTGAGAACTAGCACACACATACAGATGCACATTTCCTATTTTGGTGCCGCAAAATAAAGTGGTTGAAAACCTCAGACCTGAAAATAGTAAAAAAGCTATCCCTCTATAGTGTGTACTTGTCTCAGTCCAGAACACCAAGTGTCATTTCTGTCTGGTTCCTCCTTCTATCAGCATGAATCACTTCTGACGAGTTTTTCATACACCAAGAGAAAAATGGTGATGGGAGAGGTACCTCCGGCAGATTGACAGCCTGAGCTCTGTTCCTGTGTGCTGCGTGGAGGGGGGTGTGTCTCTTCCTTCCAATCGGCTATCAGAGCTCTCCGCACTGAGCTCTGTAGTGTGTAATTTCCCGCCCCTTGCTTTCTGCAAGCTCAGACAGGTTTTATAAATTCTGGACTTTGAACAGATGTTGGGAAGAGGAGACTGCAGATAAACGGGTACAACTTATATAGGAGGATTTGTTTCATCTCTTTGTATCACCTGAGGCCAGTCACTTCACTGGGTATACGTAAGGGTTTACAACTACGTTAATGTTTTCACTGCAAAGGGCGTTATACATTTGCACTTAGAAAATCCTATTGTGGCCACAGAAGAGTTGATGTATCACAATGCCCTGTGCTGGCGAACGTTAATATCCAGATGGGAAGGGGTTTCATCGATCTCACTTTGCAGCTAGAAGCCCGCAGCAGGTGACATGTCTGGTTATGTATTTGTTTTTTTAGATGAAAAAGGCTGTGCGGGAGACGGTGCAATCCTTCTGTGTGACGAATGAGGAATTCTCGGCCAAGTCTTCACATTCAAAGGACATCGAAGTGTGCCAGTCAGCATGTCAGGTTGGTGTCCATATGTTGTACTGATCTGTTATAAGACTCTCTAACAGCACATCACTCCTCCCCAGGGGCGGACTGACCATTTGGAAACTCGGGCACTGCCCGAGGGCCTGGGGTCAGTAGGGGGCCCCATGAGATGCCCCTGGTACCTTTTTTTAATAAGCTTTTTTTTGAGTTTGGGCAAGGACACAGGGGCCCCATGATCCCCTATTGCCCGGGGGCCCCATGAGTTGTCATTCTGCCCTGCTCCACCCGCTGTCTGATGCAAGCTGATACACATTGGTGCTGCATTAACCCCTTCACGCCGGCGCCTCCCGGCCCTTTAAGAGTTTCAGAAGCCGGGAGGCGGAACGGGGTTTTAGGGTCATGTGACCGCCGTGACGGTCACATGATCGGGAAAGGTCCCGATTGAAAGAGGAGACCGGGACCTTTCAGTGAGTCCCAGACGTGTGCTGGGCGCGCGCTCTCTCAGCACGTCTTTTTTAAATAGAACGCAAATGTGCGGCCGCTCGGCGTCTAGACCCAGACACCGGGAGGCCGCACATTTGCGTTCGGCAGGCGTGAAGAGGTTAAACCACTTAAACCACTTGCCATACAGAGTATTTACAACCCCCCCCCCCTCCTTCCCGACCAGGCCATTTTTTGCGTTATGGCGCTGCATTACTTTTAACTGAGAATTGCGCGGTCATGCAACGCTGCACCCAAATTAAATTTACGTCTTTTTTTTTTTCCCCCCCCACGATTTGAGATTTCTTTCAGTGGTATTTGATTGCCTGTGCGTTTTTTGTTTTATTTTTTTGCCATATTAAAAAAAAATATATATATTTTTGACTTTTTGCTATTAAACATGTCCAGTAAAAAAATGTTAAAAATCTAATTTCTAACGTTAAAGTTATTGCGTTTACAAATGGCGGTATATATACTGGGATTTTTAATTTTTTTTTAAACTAGTAAGGGCGGCAATCAGCGACTTATAGTGAATATTAGCAGACAAGTGAGCGCTAAAACATGAGCTGCTAAAGCACCAAAAAGGCAACCAAAAAACCTCCAAACCAGTAAGATAAAGGTGCTAGCGCTGCACCTTTATTTATCGTAGCGACTTATAGTGGGACTGCGGCAGGCATTCTGACACTGGGGGGGAACTGACTGTCACTGACATCCCTAGTGACACTAATACAGTGATCAGTGCTTATAAAAAGCACTGACACTGTACTAATGGCACTGGGCAGGAAGGGGTTAAAAATAAAATTAATAATAAAAAGTAATTGGATTGTCTAAAGATAATTTTTGCTCCTGGTAAAGTTGAGGGAGAGTAACGGAGTAAAGACTTTGAGGTCAACTTTAATCACTTGCCCTCCACAAGATTTACCCCCCTTCATGACCAGGCCATTTTTTGTAATACAGTGCTGCGCTTCTTTAACTTACAATTGCGCAGTCATATGCAGCTGTACACACAGTATCTCCCAGAAGTGAGTCCCCCCCCCTCCCCCGGACTGTATACAATGTGTATATATATATATATATATATATATATATCTCCCAGAAGTGAGTCCCGTCCCCCCCCCCCCCTCACCCGGACTGTATACATATATATATATATATATATATATATATATATATATATATATATAGTATCTCCCAGAAGTGAGTCCCCCCTCCCCCGGACTGTATACAGTGTGTGTGTGTGTGTGTGTGTGTGTGTGTGTGTATGTATATGTGTATATATGTATATGTATGTATGTGTATATATATGTATATATATATATATATATATATATATATACACCTCTCTGCGGCCTTCGACACAGTCGACCACCCCCTCCTCCTCAAAAAACTACACTCCCTCGGCCTCAGAGATTCTGCTCTCTCCTGGCTCTCATCCTACCTGTCACAAACACTCCTTCAGCGTTACCTATAATGCTACCACCTCCCCCTCACTCCCCCCTCTCTGTTGGGGTCCCTCAAGGCTCTGTCCTCGGGCCCTTCTCTTCTCTCCATCTATACCTCCTCCCTTGGCCAACTCATACACTCTCACGGCTTCAACTACCATCTCTATGCCGACGACACACAAATCTATCTCTCAACCCCCCCACTCTCACCCCCTTAGTCTCCGCCCGAATCACACACCTACTGAGCGACATATCAGACTGGATGTCGCTCCACTTCCTTAAAACTGAACCTCTCCAAAACCGAGTTTCTTGTCTTCCCCCCAGCCCGGACCCACCCCCCATTGACTTCTCTATCACATCCAACAACGCCACCATCAAACCCGCCCTGCAGGCCAGAGTACTGGGTGTCATTCTGGACTCCAACCTATCCTTCCAGCCCCAAGTCCAATCTTTAACAAACTCGTGCAGACTCCACCTCCGCAACATCGCCAAAATCCGCACGTTCCTAACCCCAGAAACCACTAAACAGCTCATCCACTCCCTCATCATATCACGACTCGACTACTGCAACTCCCTCCTCACTGGCCTGCCTCACCGCTGGCTATCCCCGCTTCAGTCCATCCTGAATACGGCTGCCAGACTCATTCACCTTTCCAACCACTCCATCTCCGCCACCCCCCTCTGCCAATCCCTCCACTGGCTTCCGATTGCGCAACGGATCAAATTCAAAATCCTAACGCTGACGTACAAAGCTGTCCACCATACTGCCCCGAACTACATCACTGACCTAATATCCAAGTACCGCCCAGCACGCACACTCCGCTCCTCACAAGACCTCCCTCTCTCTAGTTCCCTGGTCTCCTCCTCCCATGCCCGCCTCCAGGACTTCTCCAGGGTGTCACCCATCCTCTGGAACTCCCTGCCCCAACCCATCAGATTATCACCTACTCTCCTCTCCTTTAGGCGCACCCTGAAAACCCATCTTTTCAGGGAAGCCTACCCCACCCCCTGCTAACTTGCCGACCTCCTCCACTCTTCCTACCACTCCATCCCCCACAGCTATCTCCTCCTTTGCCACCATCCCCTCCCTCCTAGATTGTAAGCTCCAAAGAGCAGGGCCCTCGATCCCCTCATGTTTTGCATTGTATTGGTATTGTTCTGTCACATGTTCTGTCCCCCTTTGTAATGTACAGCGCTGAGCGAACTATTGGCGCTTTATAAATACTGTATAATAATAATAATAATAATGGTATCTCCCAGAAGTGAGTCCCCCCTCCCCCGGACTGTATACAGTGTGTGTGTGTGTGTATGTATGTATGTATATATATATATATATATATATATATATATATATATATATACATACATACATACAGTATCTCCCAGAAGTGAGTCCCCCCTCCCCCGGACTGTATGCAATGTATATATATATCCTACAGTATCTCCCAGAAGTGAGGTCCCCCCCTCCCCGGACTGTATACAATGTATATATATATATATATAGATATATATATACAGTATCTCCCAGAAGTGAGTCCCCCCTCCCCCGGACTGTAAACAATGTATATATATATATATACAGTATCTCCCAGAAGTGAGTCCCCCCCTCACATTTGTGTAAATATTTGATTCTCTCTTTTCATGTGATGTGACAACACTGAAGAAATGACACTTTGCTACAATGTGACGTAGTCAGTGTACAGCTTGTATAACATGGAAATTTGTTGTCCCCTGAAAATAACTCAACACACAGCCATTAATGTCTAAACTGCTGGCAACAAAAAGTGAGTCCACCCCTAAGTGACAAGGTCCAAATTGGGCTTAAAGTGTCAATATTCTGTGTGGCCGCCATTATTTTTCAGCACTGCCTTAACCCTCTTGGGCATGGAGGTCACCAGAGCTTCATAGGTTGCCACTGGAGTCCTCTTCCACTCCTCCATGATGACGTCACGGAGCTGGTGGATGTTAGAGACCTTGCGCTCCTCCACCTTTTGTTTGAGAATACCCCACAGATGCTCAATAGGGTTTAGGTCTGGAGACATGCTTGGCCAGTCCATCACCTTTACCCTCAGCTTCTATAGCAAGGCAGTGGTGGTCTTGTATGTGCGTTTTGGGGTCGTTATGTCCAGGCACAGAGATTTTGGTAGACAAATCTTTCTTTTATACTAGATAGTACAATGGCTGCTGGAATTCCGGTCTGCTCTGAATATGAGAGCTGCAGGTCTCAAACTGTAGCGCTAGTCATTTTTTACCCCCCCCCCCCTTCCTTCTCCAATGGCCAATTGAAGTATCTGGTTGTATTTGTGCAGCTTTTTTTTTTTTTTTTTTTGACACTCATCTGCTTCCCCATCCGCCCTATAGCAGTAATACTGTGACCTACCTGTGCTGCTATTCGCTGCCTCGGCTTTCAATCACTGGGTCTCAGCAATGATTATTCACCTGCACCTGGTGATCGAGAAGCATTACCAATGGAGGGAGATAACTGTAAGTAAACAATACAGATCTCTCCCCTGTCAGCTCCTGCACACTTCTATGCATAGCACAGCCATACAAAGCAGTGGGCTTACAGTGAAGCACACAGTGAACCCTTTGATCGCCCCCCACATGTTAGCCCCGTCCTGCCCATTGTCATTAGTGCAGTGTCAGTGCTTTTTATTAGCACTGATCACTGTATTAGTGTCACTGGGGATGTCAGTGACACCAAGTCAGTCCCCCCCCCCCCAGTGTTAGAATGCCTGCCGCAGTCCCACTATAAGTCACTACTAGTAAAAAAAAAAAAAATCCCAGTATCTATACCGCCATTTGTAAATGCAATAACTTTCAAGTGAACCAATTAATTTATAGGTATTGGGATTTTTGTTTAGCAAAGACATGGAGCAGAATACATTTTGGCCTGAATTTATGATGAAATTTGATTTTTAAATAGTTTTTTTACCAGACATGTTTTATAGCAAAAACTAAAAAATATTGTCTTCCCAAAATTGTCGGCCTTTTCTTTTTTTTTTATAGCTCCAAAAATTAAAAAACCGCACAGGCAATCAAATACCACTGAAAGAAAGCTCTATTCGTGAAGGGGGGGGGGACGGGGACGTAAATTTCATTTGGGTGCGGCGTTGCATGACCGCACAATTGTCAGTTAAAATAATGCAGTGCCGTAATGCAAAAAATGGCCTGGTCAGGAAGGGGGGGAAATCCTCCGGAGGGCGAGGGGTTAAAGTGTATCTAGTACATAGTTCAGAAGCTATTTTGCAGTAATTTGTAGGAGACTCGATCTCTTTATGACAAAGGTTGTACTTTTATCTTCTACAATTTGTAGAGAAACACACAGGTTCTATGTCTGGTCTAATATGCATCCTCTAATTCAGGCTCTGCTGCAAAAGATGAAGGGTCAAGGGTTCCCCTGGTTCCGGCTCTGCCTCATAGCACTCGTCTTCCTCTTTGGTTTTCTCATCCACGATGTCCGGACAAGTGGCTCCATCCAAGGTCTGTTTTTGTAAGAAGTGTAACCTAAGACCATTTCATTTTGGATATAGCAGGGTTAGAGTCTCCGTCAGGTTTTTATCACTGCCTGAGGTCTCGCTGCTCTCGGCTTCTTCAGCCTGAAACCGGCACATGAGCAGTTGCTTAAGGGGATACTCCATTTTACTGTTACACCAGGACAGGGGCAGCTGTCACTGTGTCGGCATCCTGCTCCTGCACCCTGTGTGATGGTGTCACCCGGTGCGGCCCACACCCCCCTAGGGACGCCACTGTAGTGTGGTCACCTGATCATCTCCCTAGTATTGGCTTCAGGTGAGAGCAGTGACTGCAATGCCTGAGTGGTGACATCACCCATAGACTTACTATGGGGCAGCGATTGTCCACTGTCCCTCCTCTGCCCTGAAGCTGGTGTTGGGAGCCAATCAAAAGACCGAAGCACTCTAAGAATAGGAAAATATATTCATCTCTTCCTATACAGGCATGTCGGTATAGGACTTTGAATAGGGTTGGGAGTAGGTTCAACATCACATAGGTTTAGGCCAGGCTTCCAATTTAAATCGCATGACACAAGGGGTGAATCGTGTGCTAAAAGTTGTTCCTGGGTACGAATGGTCTTTTTATATCCACGCGTTATAGTTCCCTACGAGGTCAGATGTTCTAATATGTGAATTGTGATGCCAGCCTGGGTTTGATATATCCTCAGGTGCATTCTAATCTAAAAGTAATACTTGATCGTATTCACACCTGTCCTCCTGGTTGCAGCTTCCTCATCGGTGAGATTACTACAGCAGACAGGCGTGTTGTCGGCGGCGTCACAGCAGGCATGGAGCAAAGTGTCACACTACGGCCAGCACGGGCACAGGTGGGTAGTCTGAACTTCCTATATATATATGTTATCTGGCTTTAGGCTTGTGTCAATGAGCGTGTTTCTGGCATCAATGTGTAACACTTCCCAGATCATGTAGAAGTCATTGACAGGTGTGTTGACCTTCAGTTGACCACCTCATTACCTCCACTTTGAGTCGAGATACCTGGATGATGCCTGCAGTTACAGGCATCATCCACATATCTTTTTTTTTCCCTCCCTCAAACAGCGATTGCATGTGTTGTAAAAGCCATCCTAGCAGCTGATTAGCCGCTGGACTGTTTTACAGGCAGCAGGAGGGGATGTCGCCCCACGCACCCATTCACCCCCACACACACGTACACCCACATTCACCCCCACACACGCACCCACATTCACCCCCACGCACCCATTCACCCCCCCACACACGTACCCACATTCACCCCCACACACACGTACCCACATTCACCCCCACACACACGTACCCACATTCACCCCCACACACACGTACCCACATTCACCCCCACACACACACGTACCCACATTCACCCCCACCACACACACACGTACCCACATTCACCCCCACACACACACCCACATACCCCCACCATTCACCCCCACACACACACGTACCCACATTCACCCCCACACACACACGTACCCACATTCACCCCACACACACACGTACCCACATTCCCCACCACACACCACACGTACCCACACACACACGTACCCACATTCACCCCCACACACACGTACCCACATTCACCCCCACACACACGTACCCACATTCACCCCCACACACACGTACCCACATTCACCCCCACACACACGTACCCACATTCACCCCCACACACACGTACCCACATTCACCCCCCACACACACGTACCCACATTCACCCCCACACACACGTACCCACATTCACCCCCACACACACGTACCCACATTCACCCCCACACACACGTACCCACATTCACCCCCACACACACGTACCCACATTCACCCCCACACACACGTACCCCCCACACCATTCACCCAACATTCCCCACACACACACGTACCCACATCCACCCCCACACCCACACGTACCCACATTCACCCCCACACACACGTACCCACATTCACCCCCACACACACACGTACCCACATTCACCCCCACACACACGTACCCCACATTCACCCCCACACACACCCCCCACATTCACCCCCACACACACCCGTACCCACATCCACCCCCACACACCACCCACCCCCCCCACTCCCCCCCCCCCTCCCCACTCCCCCCCCCCCCTCCCCCCCCCCCCCCCCCCCCTCCCCCCCCCCCCCACCCCCCCCCCCCCCCCCCCCCCCCCCTCCCACTCTCCACCCCCACTCCCCCCCCCCCCCCCCCCCACTCAAAGTGATTAAAAAAATGTTATAAAATTAAAGGGACAGTGTAAAAATATAATGAAAAAAAAAAAAAAATGTTTTTAAAGCATCCCCATCTCCACGTGCTCACATGCTGAAGCGAACGCATATGTAGGTTGCATTCCAACCACACGTGAGGTTTTTTAATCATGTTTTCCAGCACAGAGAGATGTGGGGTCCCTCCATAAAGAGGACCTGTCATGCCTTATTCCCATTACAAGGGATGTTTACATTTTTTTGTAATAGGAATAAAAGTTTTTAAAATAAAAAAAAAAAATGTATTTATTATGATATCTATTTACTCGGTGTAACATCATCTATTATATATTGGGGGGTTTTTTGCATTAAAAAAAACCTGCAGTTGAAAAATTGGTGCGCAAATACTGTGCGACTTAATAAATTGCAACAATTGCTATTTTATTCTCTCTAGGGTCTCTGCTAAAGGAATATATATAATGTTTGGGGGTTCTGAGTAATTTTCTAGCAAAAAATGACGATATTTACATGTAGACAGGATTGGCCTGGGTGGGAAGGAGTTAAACCTGTTGTATTGTCGACGCTAAAAATTAAATCTCATCTTTGTGTAGTAAGAGATGTTGTTGTTTAATATCTTCCTGTCCCCCCCCCAGCTGGTTGCAGAGGAACGTTCCCCCCACTCCCAGGCGGTGGAGGTGTTGGGACCAGGGCTGGAAATAATATGGGAGAAGAGCTGCAATGGGGCCATTTACGTTGCACAGAAATTTTCAACGTATTTCCTATACTTAAAGGACAACCTGCCAGGGTTTATTCAGTGGGTAAGTAGCTTGGATATCTTAGACTTCTTTCTTGCTTCCTTTTATATTTGTTCAGAACTATTTGACAGAGAAGTGAAACCTTCATAAAAGCGCATGGATAATCCTAGGTGAAGGTGAAGAGTGTGATATCCCAGTGTTGGGTGTAATCAGAATGACAGGTCAGGAGAGGGGTATTTTCTACCTTTTATGAAGCATCATGTTGGAGGAAATGTTATTCTGGGGGTGATTGTAATCAGAAAAGTAAAGTGGTGTTTTCTACCTTATAGAGCAGGGGTATTGAATTAAAAAGGCATGAGGGTCCAATAAGTAAAACTTCCAGTAGATGTCCACATCGCGTTTTTGTGTGGGATGTCTCAGATCTCTTTTATCACAGCCATCTCTTCCTTTATCAAACTCCCATTCTCATCCGTGTCCTCAGTCCCTCCTCACACCTGTTTTTCCCTTCACGTTAGCCCCCACACGTATGTGGCTGTGCACCCCCCTATGGGCGTGCAGCCAATTCATTTGAATAGGTTGCTCCGCCTGCATATTTTGCTGGGAAAAGGTCCTGGCACCCCCCCTTTTAAAGCAGTAGTAAACTTGAGGAAAAAAAGAAATTCTCCCCTGCAAGGCAATGTTATAATGTGCTAGTCTGTATTGCACAGCCCCCCGACTTGCCCCCCCCTGACCCTCCCTCACCCCCTCTGTCACTGCACAGAGGCTTCATCTTCCCACGCCCATCCCTTCCCCCCCCTTCCCTCTTCACCCCATCTTCCCTCTTCCCCACTCCATCTTCCCTCACCCCTCACCCCCTCTTCCCTCTTCACCCCCTCTTCCCTCTTCACCCCCCCCTTCCCCTCTTCACCCCCTCTTCCCTCTTCACCCCCTCCACCCTCTTCCGCTTCACCCCCTCTTCCCCCTTCTCCCCCCATCCCCCCTCTTCCCTCCTTCTCCCCTTCTTCCCCTCTTCTCCCCCCTCTTCCCCCTTCCCCCCAGCATCCCCTTTCCCCAGCTTCCCCGCCCCCCCAGCCCCCCATCTTCCCCTTTTCATCCCCATCTTCCCTCCTTTCCCCCCCTCCCCCCTTCCCTCTTTTCCCCATCTTCCCTCCCTTTTCCCCACCCTTCCAAATCCCCCCATCTTCCCTCTTTTCCCCATCTTCCCTCTTTTCCCCCCCCAAACTTCTCTCCCCCCACTTCCCCATCTTCCCTCCCCCCCCCATCTTCCCCTTTTCCCCCATCTTCCCCCTTTTCCCCCATCTTCCCCCCTTTTCCCCATCCTCCCCCTTTTCCCCATCTTCCCCCCCCTTTTCCCCATCTCCCCCCCCTTTTCCCCATCTTCCCCCCCCCTTGTACCCCATCCCCCCTTTTCCCCATCCTCCCCTTTTCCCCCGCCTCAGGGGAAAACTCACCCCTTCCCCCCCTTTCCCCCCCCTCTTTTCCCCATCCCCCCTTTTCCCCCCTTTTTCCCCCATCCCCCCCCCTCCCCCCCCCTCTTTTCCCCATCTTCCCTCTTTTCCCCCCACTTTTTCCCCATCCCCCCCCCTTTTCCCCCTCTTTTCCCCATCCCCTCTTTTCCCCCTCTTTTCCCCATCTTCCCTCTTTTTCCCCCCCCCCCCTTCCCCCTTTTCCCCCCTTTCCCTCTTTCCCCCCCTCTTTTCCCCCATTTCCCCCTCTTTTGCCACTTTCCCCATTTTCCCCCTCTTTTCCCCATCTTCCCCCCTCCCCCACCATCCCCATCTTCCCCCTCCCTCCCCTCTTTTTCCCCCTCTTCCCCCCCTTTTCCCCCCTCTTTTCCCCATCCTTCCCCCCCTTTTCCCCCTTCTTTCCCCATCTTCCCTCTTTTCCCCCTCTTTTCCCCATCTTCCCTCTTTTCCCCCTCTTTTCCCCATCTTCCCCAATCTTTTCCCCCCTTTTTCCCCATCTTCCCTCTTTTCCCCATCTTCCCCCACTTCCCTCTTTTCCCCATCTTCCCCATCTTCCCTCTTTTCCCCACCCCTCTTTTCCCCCCCCCTCTTTTTTCCCCATCTTTCCTCTTTTTCCCCATCCCCTCTTTTTCCCCCATCTTCCCTCTTTTTCCCCCCCATCTTTCCTCTTTCCCCCTCTTTCCTCTTTTCCCCCTCTTTTCCCCATCTTCCCTCTTTTCCCCCCTCTTCCCCCCCTTCCCTCTTTTTCCCCCCCATCTTCCCTCCCCCATCTTCCCCCCCACACCCCCCCCATCTTCCCTCCCCCCCCCATCTTCCCCCCTTCCCTCTTTTTTTTCCCCATCTTCCCCATCTTCCCTCTTTTTTTCCCCATCTTCCCCATCTTCCCTCTTTTTTTCCCCATCTTCCCTCCCTTTTTTTTCCCCATCTTCCCCCCCCCCATCTCTATTCCGCCCCTCCCTCTTTTTTTCCCCATCCCCCCCCCTTTTTTTCCCCCCCCCTTCCCCCCCCCCCCCCATCTTCCCTCTTTTCCCCCACCTTCCCCCCCCCCATCTTCCCTCTTTTTCCCATCTTCCCTCCCTTCCCCCCTTCCCTCTTTTTTTCCCCATCTTCCCTCTTTTTTTTCCCCATTTCCCTCCCTCTTTTTTTCCCCATCTTCCCTCTTTTTTTCCCCCATCTTCCCTCTTTTTTTTCCCCCATCCCCCTCTTTTTTTCCCCATCTTCCCTCTTTTTTTCCCCCCATCTTCCCTCTTTTTTTTCCCCCATCTTCCCTCTTTTTTTTTTTCCCCCCATCCCACCCCTCCTTTTTTTCCCCATCTTCCCTCTTTTTTTCCCCATCTTCCCTCTTTTTTTCCCCATCTTCCCTCTTTTTTTTCCCCATCTCCCCTTTTTTTCCCCATCTTCCCTCTTTTTTCCCCCCCCCCTTCCCTCTTTTTTTTTTTTTTTTTTCCCCATCTTCCCCTCTTTTTTTTTTTTCCCCATCTTCCCCTTCCCGCTTCCCTCTTTTTTTCCCCCCATCTTCCCTCTTTTTTTCCCCATCTTCCCTCTTTTTTTCCCCCTTCCCTCTTTTTTCCCCCCATCTTCCCTCTTTTTTTTTCCCCCCATCTTCCCTCTTTTTTCCCCCCCCCTTCCCTCTTTTTTTCCCATCTTCCCTCTTTTTTCCCCATCTTCCCTCTTTTTTTTCCCCATCTTCCCTCTTTTTTTTTCCCATCTTCCCTCTTTTTTTTTCCCCATCTTCCCACCTCCCCCCCCCCCCATCCCCCCCCTTTTTTTTTCCCCCCTGCTATCCCCACCCTCTTTTTTTCCCCATCTTCCCCTCTTTTTTTCCCCCCCCCCCCCCCCGCGACCCCTTCCCCATCTTCCCTCTTTTTTTTCCCCCCATCTTCCCCTTTTTTTTCCCCATCTTCCCTCTTTTTTTCCCCCATCTTCCCTCTTTTTTTTCCCCCTTCCCTCTTTTTTTTCCCCATCTTCCCTCTTTTTTTTCCCCCATCTTCCCTCTTTTTTTCCCCATCTTCCCTCTTTTTTTTTCCCCATCTTCCCTCTTTTTTTTCCCCCATCTTCCCTCTTTTTTTTTCCCCCATCTTCCCTCTTTTTTTCCCCATCTTCCCTCTTTTTTTTCCCATCTTCCCTTTTTTCCCCATCTTCCCTCTTTTTCCCCCCCCTCCCTTCCCCCCCCCCCTTCCCTCTTTTTTTCCCCATCTTCCCCCTTTTTTTCCCCATCTTCCCTCTTTTTTTTCCCCATCTTCCCTCTTTTTTTCCCCATCTTCCCTCTTTTTTTTCCCCATCTTCCCTCTTTTTTTCCCCCATCTTCCCTCTTTTTTTCCCCATCTTCCCTCTTTTTTTCCCCATCTTCCCTCTTTTTCCCCATCTTCCCTCTTTTTCCCCCATCTTCCCTCTTTTTCCCCATCTTCCCATCTTCCCTCTTTTTTTTCCCCATCTTCCCTCTTTTTTTTCCCCATCTTCCCTCTTTTTTTTCCCCATCTTCCCTCTTTTTTTTTTCTCGGCCGCGGCACACAGCGTTGAAGGAACGTCATTGTTATGCCATTCTTTCAGATAGCAAGCATCCGTGACGTCACGGGCTGCCGCTTACTAGATTATCTTCTAAACAGCTCTCCTTTACTAGATATTCATTTTACCTACAGGTGAGCTTTGTTATAAGCTTACCTATAGGTAAAAAAAAAAGTTTATTACCATTTTTTGAAATGCGGCTGCATGGAGACTGTATGGTGCTGTTGCACCGTGCAATTTCCGTGTGTGGGAAACCACACCATGTATTTCAGCACATTTTATAAGTTAATGGTCCCCACATGCATTTTTGGTGCAGCACCGCATTTTGTGTACAGCTGAGATTTACACGCACTCACACACTCATATATATGTGGATGTAACAGTCACTGCTCTCTGCTCAGAGCAGCAAGGAGAACTGAGCGATCAGCAGTGTCTGATTGCTTGGTTCTCACCCTTAGAGCTGGCGGGGGACAGATGCAGCATCGGATTGATGCTGAATCCCCACCTAGGTAAAAATGTTTTAAAGAAAATATAAAAAGTTAAGAGAAGTATGTTTGTTTTTTTAACAAGGTAAGCTGGTGATTGGTTGCTAGGACTGCCCCCTGCATACTAGCAACCAGTCACCTGCTGGTTTAAGCGGAGTTCCACTTACTCTGTCAAAAAAATAAAAAAGTCAGCAGCTACAAAAATTGTAGCTGCTGACTTTTAAAAAACAGCCACTTGTCCCTCGGTACAGCGGTGTGTCCCCCTCAGCCTGTTTCACCGGCCATCCTGTATTCCATGAGGCTGACATCTTCAGTGTGGGCACCCGGCTGTGACAGCTTGCGGCTTCACAGCCGGGTACCCACTGCGCATGCGTGAGTAGAGCTGCGCTTCGTGAATGGTCCTGTAGTCTTCTGGGACCTGTCACGTGTCCCAAAAGACTACAGGGAGGGAGGACACCGGAAGTGGGAGCGGGTACCTGTCAAATTCAGGTACCTGCTCCCCACCCCCCAAAGGTGCCAATCCTTAATGGGGAGCAGAGGAGCAGTTCTTAACGTGGAACTTCCCCTTTTGGAGCTCTGCTTAACTTGAAAAAGTAACTTAGGCAGATCCTGCTCCTGCCCTCCATCCAGTGCTGCTCCCGCTCAGTCCAGAATTGTCCCCCCTCCTGCTCTCCACTCTGCTAATGACTGCTGTGGAAAAGTGGCTCCTTGATGGCCTGACTGTGCTGCGGTCTGGATGGGAACGTATCTCGGTCCGGATCCTGACCGCAGTCTGCCATTTGGTGGTGCCTGTTTTAGAGGATCATTTTGGAAGTGGTTTATCCTGCTGCTGTTTGTAACACTGTTCAACAGGTAAAAAGTTTTGGGCATAAAATTAGCTAATCTTACATAATTTTGGGGTGCTGAAAACGAAAATGACTCTAAAAAATGTTGATTGGCTCTAGTTTCCATGATATATTCACCCATCTAATGACGTAAGCCATTCAAAATTATGATGCAACTTCAGCTGCATATTGCGCAATTGATACTGGTGACCAATAGAAAATTGCATGTATACTGAGATGATGCAATATTAGCCTTTAATTGCATCACTTCACTGCATAAAAGCTGCAGTATCTGTAGCTGATTGGAGTTCGACAGCGTCTTTACATTTCGTTTTATGCTTATATAGGCTACTCAGTAATGCCTCGAACTTGTGTGAATAAAGCAGATAATTTCTGCTATATCTGCGGTGAAATAACTTTTATCTCACAAAAAAGGAGGATAACAGGAATGATTAAGAAAGCCTACAACTTGTATTTTGGCTGCAAGATAGGAGACCAGGACAAGAGCTGGGCACCAAATATATGCTGCAATTCTTGTGGGACGGCACTGGAGCAATGGTTGAATGGAAAAAAGGCATCTATGCCTTTCGCTGTGCCAATGATTTGGAGAGAGCCAACAGATCATGTTAGTAATTGTTACTTTTGTATGGTGCCTCCAATTGTAAAAGGGCTAAATAAGAAGAAAAAGTTATCTGTGCACTAGCCAAATATTCCATCGGCAATACGTCCAGTTCCTCATGGAGAGGGGCTACCAATTCCTAAAGCACCAGAATCCTTCGTGGTTGAGTCAAGTGAGGAAGAACCTGAAGCGTGTAGTCACGTGCAGTTGTAAGAGATAGCCCTTTCCTCGAATACAAGAGAAAAGCCAAGAGAAGCAAAACCGACACAAACTGAAGACAAAACTAGTGAGAATCCTAAGTATTAAAATGATTCAACTTAGCTTATGGCTATAATTTTTCTTGGTAATCCTATGCAATATATTATGCCATTTAGGCTTTGTTATGTAGTCAATATCACTTGCTTTATATTTGTGGAAATCCATCTAATTATATAATTATTGTGCATTATGTAGTCATTACGCCTATAGTAGAAAACTTTCCGTTTACAGAAAAACTAGAGCCAATTGACAAATTTCATTGTTATATTTGAACTCAGAATGTGAAATTCATTAAGAAATGGATCCTTTTGTTTCCAAAACTGGCAAAAAATAAAAATTTGTTGAACAGTGTAATCGGAAAGACAAGGGGAAGATTAGGAGCCAAGTATTTTCTACCATATGGAGGGTCATGTTGAAGCGACTGATATCGGGGGGGGGATGTTATCAGAAAAGAAGATGCCAGAACAGTGGTGAGCCAAGTATTTTCTACCATATGGGGGGTGGGGGGGGGGGGATGTTATCAGAAAAGAAGATGCCAGAACAGTGGTTTCTTGTGTACAGAGGGTGTGAAACCCAATGTGAAGTATAGTTGGACAGATAGAAGCAGAGTGTTTTCCTTCTGGTAATTGAGGTCAACCAATCGGAAAAAAAAAAATTATTTCCGGTCAATGGGAAAAGGATTGAAGGAAGAAAAAGCGAACGGATGTAGATTTTTGTAGAGAGTTTTCACAGCTGCTCTGCAGGGATTGTTAGGGTGCTGTGACAAGGGAGAGGGAACAATAAACCGCTATAAAAAAGTACTGCTAGATAGGAAGTAGAATGGCATGAGTCACTCTTCGATTGTTATGTAGTTCATATTTTTTTTATTGTTTTTCAGTTTATTCTTTCTTTTTTTTTTTTTATATAGCTACATGCTCAGATTCCTGACTCTGTCCACCAGTTTGTAGAGTACCTAAAAGAGCTGCTGCTGCTCCTCTACCACAGATATATTGTGCCCGCTACAGTGTATTGCATGACCGCTTTACAGACCGCATGGCAGCGATACGTTGACTCATGCAAGTAAGTATATTTACAGCATATGGGTTGCAGCTCTGTAATCGGTGCAGAGGCCATTTAAAAGAATAATCCGTTTTCTGTTTTCAGGATGAAAAAATTGGTTCGTTTTAGCAGGTTAATAAAAGGCATTGAATTTTTTTTTTACATTTAAACCCAGCGTGACAAACTTTGTGAGGTAAAGTGGAGCTCCAGACGGTTTTCTGAAAATTAAAAAAAAAAAAAAAAAAAAAAAAAAAGAGTAGCTGCTGACTTTTAATAATCAGTTACCTGTAGCAGGATCCAGCGATCTGTTCACTTGAGGGGACTGTTGTATTCGGTCCTCATAAATGACATCCTTAACTGTGGGCTATGACAGCTTACGGCTTTACAGCCGGGTGCCCACTGCACATGTGTGAGCTTGTGAATGGCCTCGCAGCCTTCTGGGAGCTATGATGTGTCCCTGAAGACTGCGGGGGGGGAGAGGGCGAAGGAGAACTTCCACTCAGATCATCTAGGCCAGGGGTGGGCAACCTGCGGGGCTCTCCAGCTGTTGTGGAACTACATTTCCCATGATGCATTGCAAAGACCAGAAGTTACAAGCATGACTCTACAGATCCCATGAGACATTGCAAAACTGACAGTTACAGCTATGACTTGCAGAGGCATGATGGAACTTGTAGTCCTGCAACAGCTGGAGAGATGCAGGTTGCCCACCCCTGATCTAGGCATTCTGAGCAAAAGTGGGAGCTGGTATCTGACAAAACCAGGTACTCGCTCCCCCCCCATCCAGAAAAAAATGCTGAATATCGGAGTGGGGGAGGATGCCTTAAAGTGGGAATTTTGGGTGGCGTTCCACTTTAAGTTGCCCTCTGCATTTTTTTACTTCTAAAATTCAGGTATCCTTTTAGGCCTCATGTTCACTTGCTTTACTGTCTGAAGCGTGATCTGGGTTCTGATCGCACTTCGGACAGCAAAAGACAGGCAAGTGGGTAGGAGTTGTCTGGCCTCTTCACTGCCTATTTTAACCCTCTAGTTGACTGCACAACAGCCTGCGTTGTGTGGGGGTATAATTCCTGTAGCAGTAGGCAAAGCATCCTGGCCACATCATATGTACACCTTCGACCGCTGCCTTAGCTGCAACAGGGGACAGCTGTTGAGGGGCAGTAAAATTGCAGTTTGTCTCTGGGGTTTTACCACCCCTCTGTTGCAACTGTAGACAAGGCCTATAGTTTAATTAAAGCCAAAACTTTTTTTTTTTTTTTTTTTTTTTTTTTTTTTACACATCACTAATTGTCCAAAGTCTGCAAAGGGCCATTCATTGGTGCCGGCATCTTCTTCCTGTCTTTGGGTATCTTCATTTGCTGGCACAGGAGTCAGTCATCCTGTCACACAGGGACTGTGCCAGTGATGTAAACTAAGCTGTGCATGCGCAGAGGGATGATCTCGGTGAGCGGGAAGCCTCAAAAGCTTCCATTACCCTTCTAATGCTGATGAATCCTTTACAGGTGTGTTGGATTCAATTTCATGGAGGTCCGATCAGTAACATGTTCTCCCAGCAGAGATCTGAATTTCATATATGAGCTTTTACTTAGATCCTTCACATCAAAACTTCCCCTTTACATCCATGACCTCAAAACAGCCCCCCGTCACTCCTCTTCACATGACATCCACTACCCACGCTTGCATTACAGTCCTCCATTTACATCATAGTCCTTCCTGCACCTCACTCACATTGACCCCTCCTTTCCTTGCGACGCCGGCCCCTCTCCTTTCCTTGCGACGCCGGCCCCTCTCCTTTCCTTGCGACGCCGGCCCCTCTCCTTTCCTTGCGACGCCGGCCCCTCTCCTTTCCTTGCGACGCCGGCCCCTTCCTTTCCTTGCGACGCCGGCCCCTCTCCTTTCCTTGCGACGCCGGCCCCTCTCCTTTCCTTGCGACGCCGGCCCCTCTCCTTTCCTTGCGACGCCGGCCCCTCTCCTTTCCTTGCGACGCCGGCCCCCCCTCCTTTCCTTGCGACGCCGGCCCCCCTCCTTTCCTTGCGTCGCCGGCCCCTCTCCTTTCCATCACAGCTCTCCGACATCAGCGTCTTAGGTTCTGTTTGCATCAACCCCCCTCCCAATAATAGCCCCCCTTACATTCCTACTCTACATGGTAAGTTGGATAACAAGGGCCATGGCAAGTCTGGACGGTGGGCAGGCCCAACTCTTTGTTAATAAGTGAGTAATTGGTTGCTAGGACTGCCCTGCATCCTAGCAACCAATTACCCACTTGTTAATTTGAAAAGTTAGACAGCTCACGCCCTCTGTCTTGACCTGATGCACGTCCCTTCCTCAGTCTTGTGATAACAGCGGTGGTGGGACACCTAAGCTGCACAGTGGTGCAACCATGGTCTGGATAGGATTGTCATTTAGTCTGGGTACAGCCTCAGTCTGCCATTTATTGATGCCTGTTTTAAAGCCTCACTTCCAATGACATCACAACTCCAGAGTCTGAAAATTTGCAGCTTCTTCCAGATGCTTGGTTTTCTCTTTGCTTTTTTTTTTTTTTTTTTTTTTTTTGTGTTGCTAATTTTTCACTTTGATTGCTTTCCAGCGGAGAGGTGACTTGGGACTGCACACGAGACCACCTGACCAGCATCACCCAATCTTCATGGACATTTGTCCAGAACACCACACTGGCCATCAAAGACTGGGCTGTGGCCATGATATCAAGTCATTAGTTGCTAGCGGCTGTGATTACACAAGGAACAGACAATGGCTTCATTTGGCTTTTACTCAAATCCCGTAACTCGGCTGTGATGGGACCAGCGTGAACAATCTGGGATGAAAAGCCCATGAGATTCCCCTGTGACTTGTACTCCACCTCCTGTTCTAGAACATATTGAAGGATTCTGGCAGAGACATGGGTGTACCGAGTTCTCCTGGGTCTTTGGACAGATGCTGTTGAAGCATTTATCTATCATTTGTTCTCTGGGGATGTGTTGGACTTTCTGACATCAGTGGCACAATCTACTGTTTTCCTGTGGACTTGGGTCTTAAGTTTTTTTTTTTTTTTTTTTTTAATAAATGTGGTTTGTCTTTTGGATTGTCCGGATCGGTCCAGTTATGCGTTTTGGTGCGAGTGTTGTGTGCAAGTCTGTCTTAAATGTCTGTTATGTCATCCCAACATTCAGTTGTACAGGCAAAATGGATCGTTGTTTTTAGCCAAATAAAGACATTTTTTGTTTTTCTGTCTGCTTGCTCACATTGCTAAACCTGATATCTGTTGTTTTGCCCCCAGTATGGAAACCACTACCATGGTTGATGTTGGGAAGTGTGCATCGGCTCGTTCTCCTCTGGCTTCATGTCATACTTAGTTGAATAAACTCGCCAGTATTTCAGAAACACAACAGTCTGTGTGTTTTGGCGCTGTGAGCTCAATAGGATGTAGTCCTTTGTTTTTTTTTTTCTTCCTTCTCACTGCTTTTCTATACTAGACCAGAGCTGATGAGCATGCCTGGAAGATGTAGTCACTGCAGAGGAGGCAGGAGCAACAGTTCTCCTTGAGCTATCCAATAGGATTGCCCACAAATTGGGCTTCTGTCATGGGAGGAGATGAGACACACAGTAATAGCCAAGACAAACTATTTACAACACCGCTTTTTTTTTTTTTTTTCGTTTCTTAGTATATACAACGATTGATAAGTATTTCTACATTAACCACTTCCAGTCTGGACACTTTTACCCCCTTCAAAAGATCTTTCTTCAATAATTGCTCTAAATAAGAAGTCTGATGCAAGAATATTTTTAATTAATATCAGACAATATGTGCCGGTGGAAGCTCAAGCTACACAGATTCAATATTTATCTTTAACCACTTCAAGTCTGGACATTTTCAGCCTCTTTCTGTCCAGGCCAATTTTCAGCTTTCAGCGCTATCACATTGTGAACAGGGGTGGACTGACAACTCATGGGACTCCTGGGCAATAGGGGATCATGGGGCCCCTGTGTCCTTGCCCAAACTCAAAAAAGCCTATGAAAAAGGTACCAGGGGCATCTCATGGGGCCTCTTACTGACCTCGGGCAGTGCCCGAGTTTCCAAATGGTCAGTCCGCCCCTGGGTGCAGATGTACAAATACATGTTGCATGTGTATTTGGGAAATGTCATGCATTTTTTTTTGATTTGTGGTGCAGGGAAGTTCTGGCACTCCAAACTTGTGTGAAATGCCGTCACCTCCACCTGAGTTGCCTGCACGGTCATGCAACACTACCCATATGAATTTTTTTGAGACAGATAAAACTTTATTTTGGTGGTATTTATTCACCTCTGGGATTTTTATTTTTTTGCTATATAAATGAAAAAGTCCAAATATTTTGAAAAAAATATTTTTCTTAAACTTTTGCAAATCTTTCTTCATATATCTTGGCCAAAATGTATTCCGCTATCTTTTTAGTACAAAATAAATAACCCAAATTAGTTTATAACCAAAAATAATTTTTGGGATTTTTTTTTTATATTTGTTTTTTTTTTTTTTTTTTTTTTTACGTGCTGTCACCCTAGCAGTACAGTGTCAACATGTAAGCTCGAAAGTGCAGGGCCCTCAATCCCCTCATGTTTTGCATTGTACTGGTATTGTTCTGTCACATGTTCTGTCCCCCTTTTGTAATGTACAGTGCTGAGCGAACTATTGGTGCTTTATAAACACTGTATAAGAGTGATACTGTACTACTTGGGGGTGATGAAGATTATTTTTTACACTGCTTTTACAGACTTTATGGGTGTAAAAGCAATAATTTCTCCTCCTCTCTGGCTGCATTCTTGCAGCCATTGAGAAATGCTGTGTGAGCTGTGATTGCTCCCAGCTTGTCACATGGTACAAGGCTGCTGTGAATAGCCCTGTACCATGTGATCATTCACAGATTTCACATGTAGTAAGCAATGTTGTCAGAAGTGACCTCTTGCTTACTACTATTCATGTGATCACTAATTGGCCAATCAGTAATCACATGATCGGGACCTCACACAGAGGTCCCGTACAGCGATCAATGTTTTGTGTCAGGAGGACACAGGGGGCACAGGATCGCAGGGCCGTGTGCTCCTAGGGAGCATACACAGGCAGGGAAGTGGGGAGGATGTTTATAAACGGCCACCCGCTCCTGCACTGCTCCCTTCCGGCCGTTTATATACATGGGCCAGATGGGAGGTGGTTAATCAAGAAAGCAACAGTTAAGATTACATTGTTCACAAGACTTCTAAATTAAACTAAATTTTGAAGACCTAGTTCAGGATGTAAACCCCCAGTACATGCATCACAACTGTCATAATAGGAGACTCAGCTGAGACAGAAAGATTGGGGAGACTGCTGCAGTGATTCTAAAGGCTCAATGTTTTGTTTTATAATTTTTTATTGATTTTCAAAATGTTTACAACAAACAGTTGCAAAAATCGTGAAATAAAGAACAAAGAAAGAGGCTCATCGATGAGAGAGCTACAGGTACATCCAATGCCAGTACATAACAGTGAATTAGCCATCATTGCAAAACAATTGAGTATTTAAGTCAGAAATGGAAAGATCCCACGGTTCCCAAACTGCATGAAAGGTGGGGGGACAGTGTTGGCATTTAAAGCAGTGAGGATTTCCATTCTTCTAATCTCTGCTATAACCTTCACTAGTTCTGATCTAGTCAGGAGTGGACTGACAACTCATGGGGTCCCAGGCAATAGGGGATCATGGGGCCCCTGTGTCCTCGCCCACACTCAAACTAAACCCCAAAAAAAGCCTATGAAAGGTACCAGGGGCATCTTATGGGGCCCCCTACTGACCCCGGACCCTAATGGTCAGTCTGCCCCTGGATCTAGTGCATGGTTGAACTGGATGGACATTTTTGTCTTTTTTCAACCAGACTATGTAACTATGATTGTGTCGGAGACGTAGTAGAAAGCCTATTCATGGGAATGGTTCTTCTGGCTGCTGTTAAAACATGGGAGGATCATTTCCTGGCGAATTTGGAGAGGACTGAAAAAGGTAGGCCCAATAAAAAGTGAATGGTCTCAAATGTGACAGGAGCCTTTATGAGTAGCTGCAAAAGGTTAACCCCTTGATGCCGACGTAACACAAATATGCGGCCTCACAGAACTGCCTCACAGTCGCGTACCTGTCTCTGTGCTGGGAGCTTGTCGCGCGACGCACTCCCAGCACAAAGACTGGGATGTCACTGAGAGCACTGGGTCTCGTTCTAACGATCGGGACCTGGGACTCCTGATTCCAGGTCACATGATCGCTGTGATAGCCTCTGATTGGCTATCACAGTGATCAGTCACTGTACAGCCCGGCCTCCTTGTTTTTTTTCTCTCTATGAATGGAGGAGAGAGATACATTGTATCTCTTTAACTTCTGCCATAGAGGGAAAAAATATTTAAAAATAAAGAAAAAAATACTTAGATCAAGGTTTGATCTAGTTCAGTGCCAGGTTTAGTGTTTGGATCAGGGTCAAAGGGCAAGGTCAAAATGTATTATGGTATTAGAGCAAAGTTTGTGTAACAGGCTCCAGGGAAATCACAAAAAGCATTGGGGAAAGGGGGCAGCCTTGACGTGTACTGTTTCCGAGAGGGAATGGTCTAGAAAGCTGTCCGTTCACACGGACCTGAGCAGTCGGACCCGAGTACAGTGCCATGATGAAATTAAGCATGATAGCCCCTAATCCTATATTTCTCAAAGAAGCTCGTAAGTAGTCCCAAGAGACTCTGTCAAAAGCCTTTTCAGCGTCCAGAGAGAGGATAAAACCAGGCTTACGGGAGACATGGAAGCAATGGAGAAGATTGAGTGCCTTGATGGTGTTGTCCCTTGCTTCCCTTCCCAGGATGAAGCCCACTTGATCTAAGTCAATCAGCGAAGGCAGCAATGGGAGAAGATGGTTAGCTAAAATTTTTGCAAAAATTATGTCCACATTCAATAATGAGATTGGCCTGTAATTGGTGACCGAAGACGCATCCTTACCGTCTTTGGGAATGACAGTAATGTGGGCTTCCAGAAGGCGATGGCATTGTGTAGGGGGTGCGGAAAGGGTATTGAAGGCTGAAATAAAGGGACCACTCAAATAATCTAAAAACTCATTATAATAGGCTACCGAGAGGTCGTCAGGACCCGGACTTTTACCCGGTTTCATTTGTTTGATAGCTCGGGAAAGTTCCTCTGCCGTGATGTCATGCTCCATAGCTTGTACGTCCTCCTCAGACAAGGATGGGGGACCATAGAGGCAAAGAAAATCAGAAGTCAAACTATCTCTAGACATATCAATCTCAGGGGAGCGACGTTCGGGAGGGAGATTATATAGCATCCTATAATAATGCTCAAATTGTGAGGCAATATCTGAATTGGAAGTCGCTAAGGAACCATCCGAACTCCTAATCTTATGAACTGTTAAGCTGGATTTTTTACTCTGGAAGGATCTAACTAGAAATCTTCTGCTTTCGTTAGGACACTCGTAAAAGAGTTTTTGTGATAAGACGAATCTTCGTTTAGCAGCCTTACCTAATTCAGTTAAGAGTGTTGTGCAGGCTTCAGTAAGATCGGATAAGGTAGAGGCGGCTTGGGTCTGTTTGTGTGCTTTTTCCAGAAGCTTAATGCGGTCGATTAGGTGTTGCAAATGTGCCTGTCTTTCTTTTTTGCGTTTCGTGGCCATGGCTATGAAGAGTCCTCTGATAACGCATTTATGAGCCTCCCATTGGGTTAACGGGGAT